TAATCAACTTTTAAAGTTTCAAATTCTGAAAATTTACTATGTTTGAAGCGTTTGCATTCTCATGATTTTGCAAAAATGAAGATTTCTAAAAACAATTTACATTTACAAGATCACATGTGCACTTTATGAACTTCAAGACAGACTCCGCAAAAAGGCCAACCTAGAGAGTGTGGGCGGAAAGCAAAGATCAGCTGATACATGTTTATCGATGCTGTTCCCCGTGCATTCTTCAAACAGCAAAACGCGAACGCTAGCGCCGATATAACCTTCCGTCTTTTTGCAGACGAGGTTTTTAAAACAATAAGTCGCATCCGCCAACATAGAACGCATTCAAATCTGATTCCCGCGCAAAAACAGGGCATAACACGGGTCCAACAACTAGTAAGTTTAGGGCAAATAACGGGCACTTTGTACTAGTGATAAAGGAGGTAAATTCGTGGTTATCCCCGCCAACTGGATATTGCGATAACGGAGGTCTATCTTCAAGACATGTCGCTATATCGATCATCGTCTTTCGAAGAATTCCAAAAACAATATCGCAGGCTAAATAGGGATTGGATCAAAACAGCGAAAGCCGCGAATCTATCGCAAGACACTATCGCACGCCTAAAAATCGAGCTCCCTGTCTGTCCTGTACTATATCTTCTGATCAAGAGGCACAAGCTCCAATCGGAAATCGATGTGGCCTCCAGCGATTATTCCACGTACAAAGTGCGACCCATAATTAGCTGCGGAAGGGGCTACGGATAGGATTGGGTGGTTTGTTAATTCCATACTCCTGCAACTGCTCAAGTTCATCCCTTCTCACCTGGCCAATGCTAATATGTTTTTGAACCGCTTGCGCGAGACAAGCATTGACCGCAAATGTGTCATGGAATCTTTTAATGTCAGCACGCTTTACACTAATGTAAGCAACGAATGCGCCATCCAAGCGGTCTCGGAGCTTCTTGCCGTTAACGTGAATAACGTCAACCTTTACGGACTCTCAGTTCCGCAGCTCATGACACTTTTGAAGGCATGTTTACAATGCAATATCTTTAAGTGGTCTGGGAGGTACTTTGCGCAGATTAGAGGGTTTGCCATGGGGCAAAGGTTAGCTCCCACACTTGCGGTGGCCTTCATGACCAAGATTGAGGCACCAGCCCTAGAATGCCGTCCGTTGCTACATTGCAGATACATTGACGACTGCTTCATAATTTGTTCGACTCAAGCAGAGATTGACAGTTGTTTCAAGATACTTAACGAGCATTCTGCGTACATTAAGCTCACGAGGGAAAAGCCCAGTGAGGAGTGGCTACCATTTTTAAACGTGCAGGTCAATATCGCCTCAGATGTACACGTAAAAAATGGTGCCGAAAACCCAGTAACAAAAACATCTTGATACACTTCCGCTCAGCTCATCCCTCACATATGAAGAGAGCTGTAATCAAAAGTATGTTTCGTACAGGTTCTCGCGTTTGCAGCCGACAGCAGGAAAGGGCGGAGTCTTTTGCGCTGGCTCGTAGAATAGCGGCTTCTAACGGTTATGAGTATCATGCTAGGAGGATAAGGCGCCGTGGAACACATGATTTTAAAGTGATAGACCTAATATACACGATAAAATCCCCTTCAGCGTTCCTTATATCTCCGATGAAGTTAGCACTACTTCAAGGCATTGTCTGAGGAGATGCGGGTTAGAAAACTCTGTTGCGATGTTGGAGATACCCCCAGGTAACCTAAAAGGTATTTTGTTCCGCAATCGCATCTACGATGCGCCTGCACAACGCCCAATTGCATTGCATTATCTGCCCGGCGGACAGAGGCGGGGATTGCATGACGTCAGGGGTCATCTACGTTATCACCTGCGCGGGCTGCGGCGACACGTATAACGGCGAAACGGCGCGCCCTCTATGCGTCGCTTAAGGAACATTTAGACGGCAGGGTCACGCACGACTACATCTCTAGGCTCTCACAGCCTGAAGCACGGTGGAGAAAACTTCGAAGTTTTAGTGAAGATCTTAGTGCATGAATCCCAAACATCAGCTCGCAAATGTTTGGAAGCCTTTTGGATTCACGTAAAAAGTCCACAAATGAATCGCAAGGAGTGCCTCTCAATCACCCTAGAAATCGCACCTTACCTGGGTCACCTCTTTTGACTCACTGTAGGCATATAAATAGCGTGGCATACATGGTCATTCATTAGCGCTCGCTCAGGCGCCTGTATGCTATCGGCATATTCAAAAAGGGTTTGGTTTGGCAGTCTTGTCAGTGAACAGGCAAAGTCTTAGAACTTTGCTTGTGGAGCTGCAGAGACGTTTGATCGGATAGGTTGCCGATCGTTTTGTCCATTCTAGGCTCTGAAGAAGGCGATCTGCCGAAACGTCAGCCAATAAATAATTATTACCAATCTCGAGTACGGCTTACATAAACAACTATTATTTACAATTACTTTCAAGCCAAGCGGAAAAGCCCGTAAAATTTATCGTACTACATTTCCATCCCCTGCGTCTACTCTATTCAATAGTACTTACAGAGAAATTAGAATTGAAATTTTCAAAAATGAGCAAAATGAGAGTAGAGAAAATTCATGGGTTGGAGATTTTGATGATTATTCGAGCAACTATCAATAAACAACAAAAAACAACGCTACTAAAAAGAGAAAAAATTGCAAACACTTCTTGGAGCATCTGCCATCATTCAGAACTCGGCACAGGTGGCTTGTAAGCAAGGGATACGTTTTTTGAAACAAAAGGCAAGGGGTTATCGTTTTTGTGGGTCCAAAATTAGATTTTTTAGCTGAGGTTCCGCTGTTTTGGTTGATTGGGATATTTCGGATAAGGGTCAAAGGAGAAAATTTTGCGAGATCAAAGAGACTTCGTTCTTTGCATTTTCGGAAAGCCACCCCGAGCCCTACTATCATTACTCAACTAAACAATTTATAAATTACTGCATGAGTAGGTGTCAGTACCATAGCTGTATGCTCGACTGCCCTTACTGCTAACCCCGCACCTTAAAGGCATTGTCCGGGCAAAAACTCGATTTTGAGATTTTGGACTTACCTGGGCCTATTCGCTATGCTGAATCCGAAAATCCACATGGGAAAGCGCGAAAACGGCGAAAAACGGCTCTAATGCAGGACGGAAACAGCAAGTGGGCAGGGTCCTTCCCACTGTGAATTCACGCTCCCAGCTTCCGGAGCGATCTTCTCGCTTCCAGTTTCAAATCAGTCATTCGCACTTGGCCGGTGGCGATGTTAGAGCGGCTAGTGGACTCGAGAAGACCGCTCCGGAAGTTGGGAGCGCGAATTCACAGTGGGGAGGGCCCCGCCCACTTGCTGTTTCCCTCCTGCGCTAGAGCCCTTTTCTGCCGTTTTCTCGCTTTCCCATGTGGATTTTCGGATTCAACATGGCGAATAGGCCCAGGTAAGCACAAAATCTCAAAATCGAGTTTTTGCCCGGACGCTGCCTTAAAGGCAGCGTACACCCAAAATTTCGCCTTCGATGTTTTTGTCATTTTGGGGCCTTTCCGTGCCCCTGATTACAGTCATGACATCGAAATTCTCCAAAACCCCAAAGAACTCCGATTCTTGGGGACCCTCTCTTCAAAGAGAGGACGAGTTTCGAATTGCTTGACCTCGTCGGCATGCCAGCGAGGAGCAGCTGCAACTGCATGACAGCCTGCAGTTGCAACTGCAAATGCAGCGTATGCTGTCTCGTATTCGCCGTCCGAAGGAGGCGGACCGCAAGAAGCAAATTGTTGCATCTGCTGTTGCGTTTGCTGCAGGTGCAACTGCAATTCAACTGCAACTGCAGCTTGCGCTGTTCTGGATTCGTCCGAAAAAGGCGGAGTGAAAGAAAAATTAGGCGGGTTTTCTCCGCTCAGAAGCAACATCGGGAGACTGGAGCAACGTAGGTGGTCTTCTTCTGAGCCTTGGATTTACACGGTATAGAGAATTGAGTAACTTAACTTTTGGGTGTACGCTGCCTTTAAAATCTCACGTGTTCGCCACCAACGGGCCTGCTGGCGCGCTCTACGTGGTCGGTCTAACCTTCGACTCCACAACAAACCTGCAAATACTCTAAATAAGTTTATCCTAACACAAACTTACAAAGGAGCTACATCAACACTACAAACAAATACGACTATTAAACAGTAACCAAAAACAAATAAGACGAGACTCCCCTGTTGCGATGTTTTTGAGGCACACTCCAAAAAATTAATGTTTCGTTACTCGATCAGGAGCGGCGCGTCAAAAGCCAGATTCGCTTGGAACGGAACAACTTCAGGTCCATTGCTGCAATAATGGCAAACTAAAATTAACTTCCTCGCTCCAGTTGTCACCCAAAAATGTCATAGAGCTCAACGTTTAACACGAGAACCTCTAATGCGGGAGGTCCTAATAACGAGGTACGATATTGCGCACCTACAGCGCTCTCGGTCAAACGCTGTTATGTGGAGCTACTCGCCTCGCTGAGCCGCGACAGCTCGCTGGCACAAGTTCTCTAAAAAATTAGGACTTTTGTGAAATACACATCAATGTGCATTACAAATATAAAATACTAATGAAAAATACAATACTTTACAAATTATTGCTGAAATAGCCGCAAGCTTTAGGCAAGCATAGTTGCAGCAATGCTGAATAAATTTTGTTTATTAACAGCTAGTAATTATCTCATTGTTTGAAATCTAAATGCGATGTACTTTTTTTGCTAGTGATGGTTTATTAGGTGTTTTATGTACTGACTAATTTTCCTCTGCAGCGATTGAGCGCGTCGTGAGATTGCAAACGTTGAATCCGGTTACTTTTCGTGTGTAAAAGGAAGTTTCCGATTATTTCTGCAAACGTCTTTCATGCTGGTACTTTTTCCGCACTCGTTCAACTGTTAGCAACGAAGTTTTGCAAAGCTTTGTAAAAAAAAGCTTGAAATTTCTGACTTCTCTTCTGATTTTCATTAATGTCAAAGCCTCTATTTGCGTACTAAAAAATCTTTTTAACGATGAAATTTTCAGACTTTTTTGAGGTCGATTCCACAGAAAAAGAAAGCGTCTAAACATCAAACAGCTGCATCAATTTCTGTAAGCCCACAAAGTTCACAAGCTGTAAAAGCTGCTCCTGACTGCACCGCAGCAAGCGCCGATTGTGGAGAGTGCCACGTGAGTGACAGGTCAAACGGAGGGGTCGAACATTACGACAAACAATATTTGCACTACAAAATTTTGCACATACATAGAAAGAAAATTTCAAAGTTCTGCCTGCTTCCTAAAGAATTTAAAAATTCTACAAATCTTTTTATAAACTTGTAGATTTTTTTATCCATATGCCAAAGGCAACGTTGAATTTGTAACAAAAGTTGCATATTCGGAAGAAAGTAATTTTTTGATGTTACAAACGTTTGAAATCCCGCCAGTGTCCGGGACGTTTCATCAAACACGAAGTGACTGGAAAATGAAATGCATAACTTTTACAATTTGCTTCGAGAATCGCGGTTCCCTTTTGTGACAATGATGTGGGTTTATTCGGAAGATTTTGAAGACTCAGCATGGCTGCGTTTTGTTGCATCCTTCAAAAGATTATCTATCAAATTGCCCAATGATTCAAGTGCAGAGACATCTTTGCATTGATAAACCAATTCTGGTGTGAAAGGAAATTTGCCTCTACATGCATACATTTGCTTTCTTGATTTAGGGAGAAGAGCCTATTGTTGAATAAAAGATGTCAAGGGCGCTTCTAGCTATTGAAAAGCAAACGCTACTTTTGCTTTTTCGCATGATAATTCCAAAGCTTTTCTTCAAGCATAACGCACAAATTTATTCCTATTCCTTTACTCTTTCCAATCATTCTTTACAATTTTTTGGTTACAGCATAAAGTTGATGCAAAAGTTCTCTAGCACTATGCTTGGACATTCATAATTTCTTGCTGTCTCGACAGATTTGCACAAGATCAGTTTTGCTGTCAGAATAAATCAATTTCTTTGTAAAACAGCCATTTTGATACTCTTAGATAAAGTAAGCTTTTGAGATAAAGGCGGGAGAATATGACCACTATAGTTTCGGCTTTCTAAAGTAAAGCTGTTAGAAATTCTGAAGCTTGCGTTATAACTCGGAGTAAGCTGGAATGTAGGTTTTTGATTCAACTTTTTCAACAATGCAAAGTTTATTTTGAAAAGCAATTCATTCTGTTGATAATTGTGATTTAAAAAAGCCAAAATATCAAATTTGCGGTTTTGCATTGCTTAACTTAAAAAAACGCAATGTTCACAGAGATGCTTATGTAGCACACACCCTGCATATTTGAAAAGCGTGGCTCAAAAAACAATTAGGTTATTCCGAAAGTAATTCCTCTATTTTCAAAGGAGCACCACATTTGATGTAATAGAGTTTTCTGAATGACTTCGTAGCGTTCAACTAGAATTTCATCCCCTTTCTGATGGTTATAAAACCCTTGCAGCGTGAATGAGCTCTTGGAAAATTGTCACAAATTGCTACCCATGCTGTTTGAGGTGTTCAAATTCAACAATTTTTTAAAATTTTTATATTAACAGTCCGAAAGAGTCCAAACAACGACTCGTTAGAGCAAACCTTAGAGAATATGGTGCAGCTTTCTTCTCCTTTCTAAAGCTCGAATTTTGGCAGGCCTGCATCAGCCACATTGCATCAAACACCAATAAATCTTCGCCAACTAAAACTTCTAAGAGAGTATTATAATTTGACCTTGATTTTACGAAGAGAATGAAAGTTTACGGAAGCGAAATATCTAATCGAATTTTTCCACAGCTGGGACGTATTCAAAAATATGAATTTTGATAGCTTTGTCTCTAAAGACTTTACGAAGCGGAAACAAAAAACAACCCATTATAGGAAGGAGAAAAAGCCGGATCAAATGGCACCCTGCTCGCCGTTTGACATTCTGCGAGATTTGGACTCAAAATGTAACATTGATCAAAATTCTAAGAAATTATGACAACTTATGAAAAGGAGAGGGAAAACGTTCTGTTTTTTGTCGGGTTTTCTCAATCCATCCCTTGCTTGAGCTCCTTCGCAGAAATGATATAGAAATCTTGAAAAATAGATAAAGGCCGTAGCAAAAAGCTTGTGTTGCAAATTTCGGGGATTTTCCTAGAGCTCATCAACTGTGCTGCAATGAAACAATTGTTAGAAAGAGGATGTAATGCTGCATCGAAAGTTACCAAGAAATCTTGGGAAACTTTGTTCTATCAAATGGACGCTCTTCGAAAAAAGTGAGATCAGTCTGGGAATGACCTAATACTTCACTGCTTGCTCCGTATGATTTCGCAAATAAATATTTAGCAGATTGACATCAAGTGATTGAAGAGGGTTTTTTTCTCCTGCTTCCATCTCAAAAGCTACAAGGGTCGATACAAAGTTCTTGACGAGGTGTAAAAATTTGGATTGTTGTCCAATTTGTCCACCAGCAAACTCAAAAACTTGCTTACGCATGTGAGAAAGAAATGGCCATAGCCATTCTTTTTTTTAATCCTTGCATTCTCCCGTCACTCGGGGTCTGCCGCTTCGTCAATCTTTTCCATTCTTCTCGGTTTAAGGCCTGCTCTTCTCTTATACCAAGCTCTCTTATATCTGCTTTGACTTTATCCAGCCATCTCATCTTAGGTCTTCCTCTTGGTCTCTTCCCTGGCACTTCCACTGACATTTCGCAAGTAAATATTCAGCAGATTGACATCAAGTGAATGAAGAGGGTTTTTTTCTCCTGCTTCCATCTCAAAAGCAGACATGGCCAATTTCGTAATGTGGCTTTCTTCTCTTCGGCTCACATGTCCATACCACTGTAGACGTCTTTCTTGCATCTTCTTTACAATGGGTGTCACTTTCATTACGCTTCGTATAGTGTCATCTGGGACATGGTCTAGCATCGTAACTCCTGTGGTCCATCTCAGCATTCGTGTTTCCATTACACTGATCATTCTTTCTTCGTCACGTGTACATGGCCAGCATTCGCTTCCGTATAGGGCTGTCGGTCGAACTGTCGTGCGATATATCAGGGACTTCAGCTTTCTTGGCATCCGCTTATCACATAGGACTCCTGTGAGACTTCTCCACTTCATCCATGCTGCGTTCACTCTACTGCTTATCTCATCGCGGAGGTTGCCATCTGCGGAGATACGGCTTCCTAGGTACTTAAAGGAGGTGGTCTTCTTGAGTTGCGTGTCTTCGATCTGGATTGTCCCGGGTGTCTGTGTTCCCAGTTCCATATACTCCGTTTTCGTCATGTTCAGCTTCAGTCCATGCATCTCAAGCTGATCCTTCCACTTCTGTACTTCCATCTGGAGCTCTCTTCTGCTTCTTGCCAGTAGGAGAACATCGTCTGCGTACATGAGCGTCCATGGTGGTTGTCGTATGAAGCCGTCGACCACTGCATCTATGACTGTGTTGAACAGGAGCGGTGAGAGTACAGAGCCTTGGTGTATGCCGGCTCGTATCTGGAATTCTTTCGTCGGTCCCGCTGCTGTCTGTACGTGGCTGGTGGCATTCTTGTAGATCATCTTCGTCCATTGCACGTACTCTTCTGGCACCTTGTGCTTTCGTAGTGCCCACCATATGATGTCGTGTGGTACCTTGTCGAACGCCTTCTCCAGGTCGAGGAACGCCGCATGTAGTTCACATTGCTTCTCCCTGCTTCTTTCTATCATTATTCTGGCGTTATGGATGGCATCTGTTGTGCTACAGCCCTTCACGAATCCACACTGATTGGGAGCTATTCTATGATGCTTCGGAGTCTCGTTTCTAGTATTCGTTCGAAGATCTTCAGCGTGTGACTCGTTAGACGTATGGGACGATATGTGGAACATTCGGCTATGTCTCCTTTCTTCTTCCATACTGGAATCGTTGTGCTTTTGGACCAATCGCGCGGCATCTTCTTGGATTCGATTATCCGATTGAGAAGCTGTGTTAGCCACTTGATTCCAGCTTGTCCGCACCTCTTCCAGAATTCACTGGGAATGTCGTCTGGGCCGATTGCTTTGCCATTCTTCGTCTTCGCTATGGCTGCGCGAACTTCATCTTCTGTGATGTTTTCTACCGATCCTTGTACCGTCTCAGCTACTATGGTAGATGACATTTGGTAGCTTGTAGATGCTATTCTCTCGAAGTGTGCTCTCCATCGTTCGCTTATCTTCTCTGGACTTCTTAGAATTCTTCCGTACTCGTCTTTGATGTTGTAGAAGTGGCTTGTATCTTCTGTAGCTTTTGCTCTTCTCTTTGTGATTCGGTAAATATCACGTTCGCCTTCTCGAGTGTACAGCTTCTTGTAGAAGTCTGCTATGTACGCTTCCTTCGCTTCTCTTACGCTCTTCTTTGCTGCACGTTTTGCGTTTACATATTTCTGACGATCGTCTTCTAATCTTGTCTTCTGCCACAGTTGGTATGCGAGCTTCTTACTCTTGATCACAGTTTGAACATCCTCATTCCACCACCAAGTTTCTTTCTCAAGTCTTGCCTTTCCTGGTTTTGTAGATCCCAGCAGGTTTCCTGCCATCTGATGAACGTTCTTCTTCAGATTCGTCCAGGAACGCTCCGGTTCGTCTTCTAGGAGTGGTAGAGCTGATTCCATAGCAGCTTTGGATCGAGCGTCGTCTTTGAGCTTCCACCGCTTGATGCGTACTCTGTCCTCCGTCATTGTCTTTCTTCGATTCTTGACTGGGATATTCAGATCTAGAATCAGTGGTCGATGTTGTGGTACACATTCTTCGCTAGGGATCACTTTGCAGTTCTTCACGTACTTGAGCTCCTTTAGTCGTACCGCCCAGAAGTCTATTTGCGATTTTCGATTTCCGCTGGCATACATTACTAGGTGATCGCTCTTCTTGATGAAGTAGGTGTTTGCCAACGCCAATTCATGAGCGAAAGCGAACTCCAGAATTCGATTGCCTTCTTCGTTGCGGATCCCATACCCGTGATTTCCGTGACTTCTACTCGCACCACTTCGCTGTTCACCGACATGGCCGTTAAGATCTGCTCCAATCAGTAGCGTTTCTTCTGAAGGTACACATCTGATGTAGTCATCTAGTTCTTGCCAGAAGCCGTCTTTCTCTTCTACCGTGCAACCTGCTTGGGGTGCGTATGCGGTGACTACTCGGAGAACTCGCTCACCCACATTTAATGTGAGGCGAAAGGAACAAGGAACAAAAGAAACGGCGTCGCAATAGTCATCTCCGTTCGGAGATGACTATTGCGACGCCGTTTCTTTTGCTGCTTGTTCCTTTATATAGAAGCTTGAAGCCGTCTCCTATATCGCGTGACTTCTCACCCTTCCATCTGGTCTCCTGGATGCAGGCGATGTCTACTCTGCGTCTTCCAAGAAGATCCGCCAGTTCTCGATGTCGCCCAGTAAGAGATCCGACGTTGACAGTGGCCAATCGAAGAGGAGAGAACTTGGATCGTTGATTGTCTCCATGATGAGCTAGCTTCTTTAGCCGTCCCCGCTCATCTTATTGGGACGGTAACCCTCGCCTACTGTTCGCATCTGTCGGGCTCAAATGCGCGTCGCCTCCGGGGAACGCCCTAGCTTTTACTCGAGAATCCTGATGAGACATAAAAGAGCATTGTGATGCGACGGGGTTTCTTCTTCAGCCGGCTTGTCGCTTGCTTTCCTTTGGATCAGCAGCCTGACGCTGGAATCGTGGGCAGAGCTGTTTTGCCAAAGAAATTAGGCCCGCCGCGGAACCGAACCTGTGACCTTCCTCGCCGTAGTCGACGGCACTAACCTCTCGGCCAGCTCTGCCCATAGCCATTCTTTACTAAGTGTGTTTATAATGCTAGACTTGTTATTGAATTATTAGAGTTGTATCACCTTTCCATCATTTTGTTTATAGAAACACGAGAATAAGAAAGAGATTTTTAGTCTACTTCAGCATTTCCATCAGTGGTTAACTCATCTTGTGCGAATTGCTTCACGCTAAATTTCATGGTGATTTTATATGTGGAGGGTGAGATTGGTTGATTGATCTTTCAAGAGAAAGTGATGTTGAAAGGCATGTAAAAAATATGCAAATATAGAGTAGTTCTGCATTCCGCACTTACCAGAAAATGAAGAAAGTAAGTGAATAATATCGATTGCAGAACAAACTCTACATATCTTGGCAATTCTATTTTGATTCTGGCATCATTACAAAGGCTCATTCAGATCATTGTATTTACATATTTAAAGCAGAGTATCTGCGTGTGTATGTCTGTGCGCTTTTCTTTAGTCATGAAGGATAAGCGGTGAGGCTAATTTTGATCTATCGTTATTATATATCTTAGGAATAAAGTTATGAAGAGTTCTGTTTGCTTTCTCATTATTCTCCACTTCACGATAGGAAGTAAATACGAAGTATATGGTAAGGTTACAGCGTACAGCTCTAGCGAATGTCTGCTATCAAATTATTTAGACGCACAAAACTGCGGTATACCACAATCAATTAACTCTGCGAGAAAATCAGTGAAAGTCAGGTGATTGTTTTTATTATCAAAGGAACAATTTCGCATTGACCTTTTGAAATTTCTCATCTGTGTCCGTTAATATAGTATAATCCACACTACATGACGGTATGTTCCTGCAAATGTTCTGCAGGACGACGTTTCAAAATATATATGTCATTAGACGTCTCATTGACAGTTGATTCAAGTCTGCTTCTCTTTCATGCGAAACAAAGTACGGATTAAATAAATACTTCAGTGCTAGTAAAGTACGCTCATTCTCCTACTCACGATATGGGTTTTCTCAAGATAATAGACCTTGATTTGCAAATAATTTACCCCAGCAAGTGCAGTGCTTCCGCCTTCGAGTAAAAAAAAATCGAACTTCTTTTTTAGAGAAAAAAGGTACCCACTGTCAAAAACTTTCTATCTAGATTTCTATCTTCAAGCCTAAATTACGACTTCTCAGAAACGCTTGTTTCCAAAAAATATCTCGTCTATTTTTAGCATCGAGTACAATGTGTTAGCGCATACCACCAAAGATTTCATAGTACTGGGCTTTTTTCAGCTTTCAGTATCTTTTGTACTCTTAATTAAAACTTCAAAAAAGTGCAAATTTCTTCTTTTCCGCAAACTTACCAGCTTACCAGGTCATAGTATGACAAATTGGAAAACTTGCTACACTACGACATGTGGGATTTTTTCATCAACGAAAATATTATCAACTTTTGAGAAACTTGTAGCAAAAAACGAGAAAAACGATTTTGTTTGACAAGGGAAAGGTACTTGGTGACCGTAGCCATTCGTAATGGAACAAATCTTTCTGAGTGCGTCTTGAAATGCTGATAACAAATCCGCTGTTGCTATCTCAGGGCAATATTCCGATTGATTCGCGTTTTTTCGCTTAGTTTAAGATTACTGAAACATAGTCGAAATCACTGGTATACTCTTTGGAAATAGTTTATCCAAGTGCAAGGTATTAGTTTGGCACATAAGTAATGCACAACTTTGTATGTAACTTTAGATAAGGATTATGATATAAGCTGCAAATGCAGGCATTTTTGCTGAATTTTCCCATCTTAGGCAAGGGTTACGGTTACAGCATAATAGAAATTTTTTCTTAGATTGCATCGGAAAATAGGACCCGTTTCGCATGAAAAAGCCTCCTTCGTAAAATCAAGGAATGAATTCATATCTTAGCGACAAATAGTTTGATGTTCATGTTTACCAAATTGGAATACCGTGATGTACAAAGTTTTAGCGAATTCTGAGGTTTCACAGCTCATTGTCAGTCATCAACAGATGGCCCTCCAATTAACGCGTTTGGCTTGTTCAGGCACCTTTTCTTGATTTGACTTCAAATTTCACTACTTTCTTACTGATTTCAATGTGTTAACTTCAAGCTGCATGCTGCCTTAAATTTTTTTTTTGATATGCTTGATTCAAGTTTTGTACTGCTTTATTGTTGCCTAAAAACTACGAAACTTCAATTTTTAACAGTTTTCGGAAACTGCTCAAATTGTTTCTAATGAATTATAAAAAACTAAGCTGTTTGCGCAGATGCAGTTTACATCACAAACCTACAATGGAGAATGAGAGTGCTACTATGAATAAGAAGAAAATTATGGAAAAAGTCGCAGATATTACGTGGCAATCTATTATTAGCACAAACTTCAAAAATTGTTCCGAGAAAAGCAAAACTAGAAACTTGCTTATGGAAAAGCACTGATAATATTCCAAACTACTCAACAATTACCGGAAGCTGATTTGTAATCAGCGTTTTGAGATGCAATCTATACGTGTCTCATTAATAATGGCCACGTTCACCTTATCCGCCTTTGCAAGCACATGAGTAAGTAAAGCTTATTGATTCAAAAAGCAAATTTCGCTTTTTTTCGCAGAAAACACCTGCGTTTCGCACAAATACTTAATAAACTGGATTTGCAGGCGTTCGGCAAGTACTGAATCTCAGTCTATCAATGAGAGTATTGATGGTGAATTTAGGCATAAAGGAGATAAGAGCGCCAAGTTAAACGAAGATGACAACGATTTCATGGAAGAAAAGGTAGGGGCAAGCATAGTTTTTGAATTTCCATGCATCTAGTTCCTAACTTCGTTGCAGTATCACCAAGCTCTTTATTTTGGCAATGTCACAAAAGGTTTCAAATCTGTATTTGGTTTACCAGACCCTCTAAAACTAGCTTAATTCTTATAGTTCATAAAGAGTATTAGGTTCTGGAAGTGATATTGGAAGCTGACTTTAGGGTTCCTATGAAATAGCCACATTATGAAACGCACACCGTCACTTATTGTCCATGAGAATGTCATAAAATACTCACTTTTATGTCCTCTAGGAGGCACATAAATATTCATGTACACCTGCTGTACCACTCTTTGTCAATTGAAAAATAACAATAAACAAACGACTAAAAATTTGCAAACTTTTTTTAGCAATACTAGTCCTAGATTCCACCTAAGTATTTGTATGCTAAAGTTCCACAAAAAGAAGTTTATAGGTTCTTAAAACAATCTACAAAATTCTACGTTTTATTTACTTTGGCCTTGCGATTCATCTAGTTCGCAATCTAATTGCGTGTGTCACAGTCATCTTCTAAACCTTGCTTTGTTCCATGAAAGATTGTTGCTCAAGCCTTTTTTGTACTCACGCTCTCGCGTTAGCATGAGAAAGTTTTTGTATCAAGCCAATAACTGAGGATCGGCCTGCAGGATGTAATTTTGTGAGTCGCATTTTCTAAATCTTGGTTTATGGCCTTTTGACCCTTATCAAGGTTCACTATTCTACTGTCATTTCTTGCTCCCCTCTTCTCTGGCCTTTTTTATTCTTATGTACGATTTAACTGAGGTTTCAACCTATCGTCATGAACTCAGATAATGGGAGGTAGACGAGCTGAGAAGGGTGAACTACCGTGGGCAGTGTTGCTTCGCATCAAAGCAAGTAAGTTCACCTTCGAAAAAAAAAACTGGTATGCAGTTTCTGGGCTTTATGTAAGTGTGTTGTGTACTTTTACAGCCGAAAGGAAAAAGTAATTGCAGCGCTAACAAACGAAAGTTGAATTGATCAAAACACTAACATAGAAAGTCGTTTGATACAGTAAAATCACACTTCGGCTTAAAAGCACCGTCCTCCCAAAATGGGGTTGATGAGATTTTGATGCCTAACAGTAATGCCCCCCCCCCCCCCAGCTGTACACATATCCATCTCGCGGCGGCAAAAGTTGCTTTCCGAAACAAGAAAATTGTTTCGAAAATCGCTGAGACAAAAAAGATGACAGGTTTGCCACGTTGGCTCCTCCCCTTTGAGTTCCACTCGTGCGCGCGCAACCAATCATCGTTCCCAATAAATCACTCCGCGGGTTTTGAAAACGGTTTTCGTGGTTTTCGCTGAATTCGGACTTGATGTCCTAAATCAGCGGATGAGAAGGCCCTGGAACGGCAAGAACATGGAAGTCGAAATTTTGGGTGGACGGTGCCTTTAAAGTTTTACCTTGAATGTGTTATCAAAGCAACCACTCGCAACTGTTTTATGAGCCTATGTAAAATGTTGTGAAGAGGGTTCAGCGATCCGACTAAAAAGGCTTTTCCAACTGATCTAAACATAATCATAGCTTTTGTTGTTCTTGCGAATTTGATAGAAGCACAGCTTGCGCTAATCTGTAGCAGGCTTATGCGGTGGAACGCTAGTTTCAAGAAGACATGTTATTACTGCAGCCCATTGTTTCTGGAACAGCTCATCGCATCAGGAACAGGGTAACTGCAGGTAAACCAAAGCTCATAAGGGTCATTTTCAGCAAATCTCCTTTGTAGCGAAGCAGACATGTATCCCATGGGAGTTGTACTAAATAGTACGGAAGTTTTTGTGGGAGGAACTTGCTCTTCAGCGGGCAGATTTGGTTGTACCAGTTCAGATATTGGCAAAGTTTACAAAGTTGCCCGGTAGTTTTATGGTATTTACCTGTGGTTTACGATCATTTCTATGCAATGTCATTACAGCGCATCTTACCGTACTTACTATGAGCTCGGATGCAAAGGCACTCGTGACATAGCCATACTTCAGTTAACTGAAGACGTACCAAAAACAATAAATCATGTTTGCCTTCCCTTTATGCACAAATTGAGGGAGATAAAAGATCCTTACCTAAAGCTAAGGACATTTGGATGGGGAAGAGACCGTAAGATTTTTTGTGTAAGATTAGAAGCATTATTAGCATTATTGTTACAGCATTGAATCACTTTAAAAGGCGCTCGCCCTTTCTGCAAATAGCAGAATTAGGTAAGAATATTGGAATCATCTAGTTCAGGAACTAATCAAATCGAATAAAGGTACAAGATTACCGAAGAGTGTTTGCAGCATTTTCGATATAAAAGGTACTTTCTGCGTCAAATCCGGTCAGCAGCAATTTTGCGATGTAAGTTTTTTTGTATTATTCCTAGATATTGTGCTTTGATTTTTAAAAACTAACAATCAATTCCTTTGTCAACTTTACCAGTGCCTTTGAACTGACTGTTAGTACGATATGATTAAACCTATCTGCCCTGCAGCATATTCGAGTGAAAGTGCGTAAAGCTTTAATTTTTCTTTTTGAATGAGAGCTTTTAAGATGCAGGCAGTGTCTTCGGCACGTTGTAGCTTAGCGGGGTTTCAAAGGCAGTGTACAGGCTAGAGCAAACCCCCTCCGATTAGGGTCGAGTCCTGAATGTCGGCTCAAGAGAGAACCATCTGCGTTTATTTGGTCCTCTAATGTTGCCTCTGATTGGAGATAAGGGGCCTGAAACAGCCAAAGTGCTACCAGGCCCTCCCAGATCCTATCAGACTCCGCCCACCCATGTAATGAAAGCAGTCCGCGCCCTCAAGACAGGGTCCTCAGGAATCGTGTTTTTGGGGATTTTGGACTAGTTGAACTTCATAACTGTAATGAGCATTCCGTGGCAGCTCATTGACCGCTGTTACTCACTCTGCATTTTTACAGCAGTGAAGCAGGGAAGTTGTAAGATCAGCTTACGAGTTTCTGTAAGGTCAGCTCAGATCATTTGAGCTGACCGACCAATACGGGCCAAAGTCTTCGGTTACATATCTCCAGGGAGAACATGTGAACTAATGTAAGTATTTGCTTTCATTTGGAAGGGCTCGCATAGTATTATGAGGCGTCGCTATGACCAGATTGGACCGGGTTCCGGAACCCACTGGGGTCGTTGTTGAATACGGCCACTGGTGAACAAGTGTTTCCGACTTTGCGTTGGATATTCACAAGATAATAAGCCATTTTCCCTCTTTCGAGACGAGACATTCTGTATACTTGTACGTATGACTGCATGTGTGTAATTATACTCTGCCTACGGCATATGATGCAAAAGTAATGACCTTTCCTTCAGTCGAGCGTGAATATCGCGTAAAGTTTACTATCCGGTGGTGCGAAGCAAGCTCTACAAGACTATTATCAGAGTATTTCAGAAATCATGATCTACCTTAAGAAGTGCTCAATTACCTCAAAGTAAGGCTCTCCCCAAAAGATCTTGCAGCCTCTCTTGATCATCCCTAGTAGACATAGCAAAATACAAAATACTGGAGTTCTTAGATGCTAAAAGTCAGCTGACCAAAATAAGCTGAAAGTATCTTATTTCCACGTGTACAAGCCACCCAGTTTGTTCTGAACGAGAGCAGACCGAAACGCATGGCTGCGCGTGTGCCTCGCAAAAGTCGCACTTCCACACTACAGGGTGTCCCAAAAGTAAGTACACACTTTTCAATCGTCAATATCTCTCTTCGCATTGGGTCTTTTTTTGCCAGCTAAGTGCCATGCTGTAGGGGAGGCTCCAACTTAGGTTTACAGCAACGATCGAATCACCGATCGCTCTTCGTTACTATAGAATTACGGTAAGAACTTCCAACATGTAAAATCATTGTGAAATATGCCATCTGAGAAATTTTTTCTTCAAGAAACTGAAAATCGTTTACTAGGGTTTTCGCTAACGCTGATTCCACTACACAACTTTTTACGAGTGTTTTCAGCTTTTTTGACAGTGTAACCACATTTCTTCTGACAAATACTGGGAATCCGGCTTTTATAGTTTACTTATTGTTAGGATAACTTTGGAAAGACGCATTACAGTAAAGTGAAAATTGCATAATCGAAATCAGCGGTTTCCATTACATAGTATAAAGGTTTTGGGCTTGTTTGGGTTTTGTTCCCAGGCAGAATATGGCTCCCAATGGCCTAAAATCCTTGTCGAAGTTCCTACAGTAATCCTACAGTAATACAAAGCGATTGGTGATTTTCTCGATACAGCAAATCTGAGTTGAAGCCTCCTCTACAGAATGGTGCTTAAACGGCGGATAAAGACACAATGGGAAGAGAGATATGAACGATTGAAAAGTGTGTATGTGTACTTACTTTTGGGACACCCTGTATTTCCGCTTCCAACGCCCCCATGGCACGCGGATTACTTGGGCGCGTTTGTCTTTGGAGCAATCAGGGTTCGATTTGTACAGGTGAATATTATACATTAAAAAATTCGAAGTTTATAAGTATTCGAATATCGGATATTATTCAAAAAGAGAAAATTTCGAATAATCGACTCTCGTATCTCCTGCGAAGACTTAGGTTTTCGAATATCCGACTTTCCAAATAGTTTGAATATAAATGATTCTTACGAATTATCAAATAATAACTCAATTTGGTTCAAAGTATAGTGTGCATTCGATACGAAAATGTCGTTTTTTGCGCTTCTTTGCGCTAAATGTGATATTTTTTGATGACAAGGGCGCATACGAAAGTAAGATTTATACGGTTTTACTTTACACAGGGTTGTAGGGACTGTACATGTAAAACTTGCCAATTTTTTGCTGTTATTTTCTCTCAGTTTTAGGCAGTGAGAAATAGCGAGTGCCAATAATTGATATTTGTAAGCGTTTGTTACAAGATTTAGAAGAATTTTTATGAAAATTTTTTTGAACAAATCTATGTTATCATTCGTAAAGCTAATAAGGAAAGGCTACCAACATTAGTTGGCGATTAAAGATGAGATATAAATCAGTAGATCCATCTATGAATGCTGATTTCGAATCTGCTTTCCTTTTTTTGCGGAACAAGTTTCCGAAAAAATTATGAACGTTTGAATGTCCAAATTTGCCAAACAATGAGTGCCTAAAAATGAGCGCAAAGCTCTAAAGCAATACCTATGCGATTTTCACCGACTCTATCCCTTCAATGCAAACAATATATGCTTTCTGGTGTTTTCGTACATCATTTCGCCATTTTTAGACCGCTTGAACCTTGACAAATTTGGAAATTCAGACGTTTACAACTTTTTTCGGAAACTTAATCCGCAAAGAGGAAAGCAGATTTGGAATCAGCGTTCAAAGGCGCGTCTATTGGCACACAAATCATCTTTAATCACCGACCAATGTTGGTATCCTTCCCTTGTAAGTCCAACATGAATTGACAGAATAAAGCAGAACATCAATCGATTTTCACTACTCGTACAGCGCCTAAATTGAGCTATTCCAAAACTTTGCAAAAGAATAGATGATGAAACATAAAAAAAATCACTGCGGTAAAATCGAACCCATATTCAAAATTAACAGAACTGATTAGCTCTTTGTGAAAGTCTTTAGTTATTCACTAGCTGGCTTACCCGGCTCCGCTCGGCCCTTCAAAACACTATGATAAAGCTCTATCCCTGTACAACCTTTCCCTGTATCCACTTCTGCATGCCAATTCACTATTCCCGCCTGTTTTAGTAATCAGCATGCTCAATTACCTCCCTGTGCAAACTTCCAGCCCTGCAGGTCAAACTTTGCAAAAGAATGATAAAACCGATAAAAGTAACGGATGACTTTAAAAACTAATATTGAATTCGTAATCAGCATGCTCGATTACCCCCCCCCCCTTTGCACTCCCAGCCTCGCAGGTCATACTTTACAAAAAATCGATAAAAATTGATATCGATCGATGGTGGAAAGTGGCCTATGACACCCGCCCGGCCGCGAAGTGTACGTGTGCAAAGTCCGAATTCACAAATAAAATTTTCTATTCGGAACATACGTACATGCATACAGACAGACAGACATACAAACAGACATTCAGCTTCATATATGAGATTTACCAATCCAAAACACATGACTCTCAACAACTTAAACTCTATCTAAAGTTTCTACCTTACGTTTAAACAAGAGTGTATGCGGTCAATTACTGTTAAACTCAACTGACTTGGCGGCTGGAGGGCGGGGCTTCGTAACTCAAAGACAAGTCCCCTCAAAATGACGGGTATCGGGATTTTACAGTGTTCCAGTGGTAGACCCTTCAGATAGTCTATCAGCGAAATCTGGAGCGGAAAAGCTCTTCTGGAAAGCTCAAAATCCGCTCCGGAAGTTTCTAGACCCCGCCCATTTCCAGGCCACGCCCACTTATTACACGTATTTAGGAGCGAACGCGGACTGGAAAGCTCAAAAGAATGCACATTTTGTCTTTTTAAGCGCCGAAAAGCTCAGATATGGCTTCAGCATGGCGAGAAGGCTCCAAGAGGGAGAAAAACCGTGGAGCGAAAGTTTGCCCGGATGGTGCCTTTAATTAAGGCTACTGCCTTTAATTAAGGCTACTGCCTCTAATTAAGGCTAATTAATGATCAGACAACACGCGCGCGAGTAAGACGCAGACTGCATTGCGTGCGCGAGCGGCTCTAATTAGGTCAAGCCCCCTCTTTCCAGACGCCAAGCCAGTTGAATAAAAGGTTAGATTTGTTAATAAATATGGTGTCCTGCGGTTCCGAGATCTTAATCCAATGTTTGCGTGTGAATAAATCTCTACGTTCAAATGCCGGCGCGGCGACTTTGCAAAATGATGCCATTTCAAAACTGATCATTTAAACTAAAACTGCAAGATCGGCATAGGGTCTACAGTTATCGACAATGCCCAAACTATCTGATATGAAGGCAGTTTATAGAATAGTACCGATAGGTGCCAAACTTCTCAAGGCGAAACATTGTTCACAATGAAACTGTGTATGCATATGTTCGGAGCACCTTATAAAAAAGTATGGTAGCTTTGCGCTTTTGTGGTAAGCTCTGCAAAAGATTCACACCAGCCAAAATTGCACACTAGACATTCCATACGGGTCGCTTGCTTTTCATCCCGTCCACGCGCCATGTATTTTCAGTCTAAATTAATGAAGGTATCAAGCACTAAACAATTCTTAGGTGTCGCATCTGTTATATTTGCTTCTGCAAGCACCGGATTTATCTATTTGCTGACTCTTTTAGGGTGACAGTGGTGGAGGAGTGACTGCAACAATTAGCGGTAGAAACTACTTGATGGGGGTAGTTTCTGAGGGACCAGATTGTGACAAGGTTGCTAAAGAGGGATCTGAAGAACCACAGGCAAGCATATTTGATAACATGCGACTTGTTATTGAACGAATGAGATATCCTATGGAATTAGGCAATCAACTTGTGTAAAAATTTGGGACAAAAATCTCGGTCACTATTGATCACTTTTTTAAGGTGTGTACTGATATTATGTACTACAAGAAGTATATCCAAAAATGGATTGGAGCAAATGGAGCAAGAAGTGGAATCAAACCTGCGAAATCACCGTACAAAAGTTACCAACCTGGATCGCGGAAGGGCTCAAATTGGGATTCCATAATATCATATCTATATGCTATAATATTCTATCTATATTCTATAATATCATACCAACTATCTTAGCGTTTTACACAAACCGTGTTTTCTTAATTGATGGCCCGATGTTTTGATGGCGCTGTTTGCTGCTACACGTAATCCTCAAGCAAAGTAATTAGAAGGCATATCATAAAAATTTACAAACTACATCAGTTAAATTTACAAATTGTTTTCTTAAACTACAAGTTCGCTGATTGATCATCTTGGGTGTCTAAGCCCGTTTAAAGTAGGCACGCCCAGTCAAATTGTTAACTAACAAGTTTTTCTCACGCTCCTCTGTTTAAAGGCAGCGTCCAGGCAGATCTGACCTATGGGGCTCTTACGTGGAAAGTACTTTTGGGGCCCTAAATAAGGCACTGCCCAAGCGACAGCTCAAGTAGTGCTCTAATGGCTGAGATATTCCCCTCGAAACTGGCCCCCGCGAACGTATCGCATGGATTCATGGCAGTTTCGCGGCAGGATCCACGGTTTGCGCCATGAATCCATGCGAAACACGGTCGCGGGGTCCAGTTTCGAGGGGATTATCTCAGCCGTTAGGGCACTACCTGAGCTGCCGGTTGGGCAATGGCTTAGTTAGGGCCCCAAAAGTACTTTCCACATAAAATTCCCATAGGTCCAGACTTGCCTGGACGCTGCCTTTAAGTATAGAGTTTTTCCCTGCTTTTGCTCCTTGTTTTTTTATAAAGTTCAAATAGCACAAAATTTCCTTCGGTTTTCTGGAGTTTTCTCATTTACGTGCGGACAAATGCAACGAAGCGAGCGCCTTCAGTTGCAAGTAGGGAAAAAAACAGGTATTTTCAAAGTGGCAACTACAGTTGGCTCCATCCGCAGCGAATTTTGCTTTGGAAACAACCTTTTGCAAAGCAACTTGGCATTTATCCAGAGAGCCACCGTATAGCATCCAAATCCCATCATTTTTCGCTTTGTGTAGAGGGTCCATTCGAACTGACGAGAAAGTTGCTCAGGCTTTTGTAGGACATAGACAATAATGTTAGCTAAAATGATGCAAAAGTAATGAGCGTTAATTTATCTTGCCGCGTCAAAGAAAGCGTAAAAATATGTGAAACATATCATTTGATGGAGCGAAGTAATCTTAAGAAGATCTTGTTCAAAAATTGCAAAAAGTTTGATAATGGAATTCAAAAATCATTAAAATTTACGGAAATGATCATCTGTTCAATAAAGCCCACAAAAGTATAACTTCATTATGCGTATTCTGTTTACATCAGACATTAATATGTACACTCACTGCACTTTTTTCTAGCTGAAAATCGAACAAAGTTGAACAATAAAGATAGGTTTTGCGAAAATCGCTACGAAAATTTGGGAAATTCGAAATTTGATCAAGGCAAAAACCGTGCAGCTTCCCGTCATTCTCTGAAAGCTTGACTGATAAACAAGACGAAGAAAAACGCCTTTTAAAAAAGGATGAAAAGAGTTTGGAGGCTTTCGAGGAGCTTCATTCCGTAGAATGTTACGTTACGCTCTTTTGAAGAAACAACATTATTTTTGGAAAGATTTGATACCTAGTCGTAACAGCCCATGACTGCTTCCGCTTCTTGCCAAACTTTATTTTCTCAACTACTAGCGATAGAAAATGTACAGGCGTACAGTAGAATTTTTGATGCAATAAGTAAATTTTTTATACAACTTGGAGGCTGGTAGGATGTTTTTACAGAAATACAATTTTTTGGTATCTGAATATTTGAATTTTTTTTGAAAGTTTCTGTGTACCAAACACTTACTTTGCTCTGTCGAGCATGTTCCATACGATTTTATATGTTATCCGCCTCCGTAAGATAAGGAACGCCCATCAAAACATAACACTTTATTGTGTGTTGCATATGGAAGTACCCTAATTCCAGATTTTTAAACCGCCGTAAATTCTCTTTTACAATTGACCAGCCCAAACACGCCAAAGGTTTTGCGACCATATACCGTGCTGCATATTGCCTAGGAGAATATGTTTGAAAAAGTGAGTTATATCCAAACATTCGTGGTTGAGTTCCGCAAGAGTCTTGCGGGACTTTAAACTACGGGACTAAAAAGGTAGCCTTGCGCCAGGATTCCGTTTTGTTTCAATTTATTGCCGCGCATATATCACGCGTCCAGGTTCTAAGGTCGGGACAAAATGGCTCGCGCGTAAGACCGTCTTTCTTTCCGTTATTTTCATTTTGTGAGTGGATTCTTGCTGGACTATTGACCATAATTGTTTGAGTAGACCTGAAAATAGGGAAAATGGCGGTTCTTAGAGTCACAAAGGCAAACCTTGCCATTTTTCAGGTCTAACGGTAATACTTCTTTGCATCGTATTTTGTGCACACTTACACTTGTAGGTAAGATTATCTATATAAGCATAGGTAAGGGTTAAGGTTTACCCAGAGCATGAACAAATTTTAACGTCACTCAGCTCCTACCATAATGCTGACAAGTAGTCATGTGACTACTGGACAACAACAAAATAGCTCCCATCAGGGCCCGGCAGGAGGTGGCATTTCAGAATTCTGAAAACGATATCCCCTTTGAAGCCAAAATTTCTTACGAGTTCCCCTTTGACCCTATTTTTGACCCCCGTAAGTCCCTGACAAACAGATATACACAAATAATAAGATGGGCGGCCTCAGCGCTTGTTATAGTGGTACTACCTGGCTTTCCTGGTCCACCCCGGGCCATCAAGGTTTCAGCTCAATGGATTCATCCGCAAAAGAATCTATAAAAAAAACATAGGGTCAAGATTTGCACAAACTTTGACGTTTATATATCTAAGATAATACTCATTTATTAGTCAGTTGCGAAACTTTACAATCTTATATATAAAGCTGAATGTCTGTTTGTATGTATGTATGTATGTATGTATGTATGTATGTATGTCTGTCTGTATGTATGTCTGTCTGTACGTATGTTCCGAATAGAAAATTCCATTTCTGAACCGATCCGGACCAAACTTGGCATACATACACTACGGGCCCCGGCGGGTGTCATAGGCTACTTTTCGTCATCGATCGATATCGATTTTATCGATTTTTATAGATTTTTTTGCTGAGTTCACCTACGGGGCTGGGAGTTGGCACAGGGGGGTAATCGAGCATGGGGATTCCGAATACAATATTGGTTTTCAGGATTATCGATTACTTTTATCGATTTTATCGATTTTTTTGCAAAGTTTGAGCTACGGGGCTGGGAGTTGGCACAGGAGGGTAATTGAGCATGGGGATTCCGAATACAATATTGGTTTTCAGGATTATCGATTACTTTTATCGATTTTATCGATTTTTTGAAAATTTGAGCTAGGGGACTGGAATTTGGCACATGGGTGTAATCGAGCATGCTGATCACCCCCCTTGGGAGTGATCAGCATGCTCGATTACACCCATGTGCCAACTCTCAGCCCCCTAGCTCAAACTTTGCAAAAAAATCGATAAAATCGATAAAAGTAATCGATAATCCTGAAAACCAATATTGTATTCGGAATCCCCATGCTCAATTACCCTCCTGTGCCAACTCCCAGCCCCGTAGCTCAAACTTTGCAAAAAAATCGATAAAATCGATAAAAGTAATCAATAGTCCTGAAAACCAATATTGTATTCGGAATCCCCATGCTCGATTACCCCCCTGTGCCAACTCCCAGCCCCGTAGGTGAACTCAGCAAAAAAATCTATAAAAATCGATAAAATCGATATCGATCGATGACGAAAAGTAGCCTATGACACCCGCCGGGGCCCGTAGTGTATGTATGCCAAGTTTGGTCCGGATCGGTTCAGAAATGGAATTTTCTATTCGGAACATACGTACAGACAGACATACATACAGACAGACAGACATACATACATACATACATACATACAAACAGACATTCAGCTTTATATATAAGATTGTAAAGTTTCGCAACTGACTAATAAATGAGTATTATCTTAGATATATAAACGTCAAAGTTTGTGCAAATCTTGACCCTATGTTTTTTTTATAGATTCTTTTGCGGATGAACTCATTGAGCTGAAACCTTGATGGCCCGGGGTGGACCAGGAAAGCCAGGTAGTACCACTATAACAAGCTCTGAGGCCGCCCATCTTATTATTTGTGTATATCTGTTTGTCAGGGACTTACGGGGGTCAAAAATAGGGTCAAAGGGGAACTCGTAAGAAATTTTGGCTTCAAAGGGGATATCGTTTTCAAAATTCTGAAATGCCACCTCCTGCCGGGCCCTGATGGGAGCTATTCTGTTGTTGTCCAGTAGTCACATGACTACTTGTCAGCATTATGGTAGGAGCTGAGTGACGTTAAAATTTGTTCGTGCTCTGGGTAAACCTTAACCCTTACCTATGCTTATATAGATAATCTTACCTACAAGTGTAAGTGTGCACAAAATACGATGCAAAGAAGTATTACCGTTAGACCTGAAAAATGGCAAGGTTTGCCTTTGTGACTCTAAGAACCGCCATTTTCCCTATTTTCAGGTCTACTCAAACAATTATGGTCAATAGTCCAGCAAGAATCCACTCACAAAATGAAAATAACGGAAAGAAAGACGGTCTTACGCGCGAGCCATTTTGTCCCGACCTTAGAACCTAGACGCGTGATATATGCGCGGCAATAAATTGAAACAAAACGGAATCCTGGCGCAAGGCTATCTTTTTAGTCCCGTAGTTTAAAGTCCCGCAAGACTCTTGCGGAACTCAACCACGAATGTTTGGATATAACTCACTTTTTCAAACATATTCTCCTAGGCAATAATAATCGACTCCGTAATCAACTCCGTTATGTTCGCTCATTCTATGCTTTCCCAGTGGACTAATCGTGCTTTGCCTTTTTTTGCTAGCTAGATGTTCGCTGATACGCACACCCAGTGGCCGGCCGGTTTCGCCAATATACAGGGTGTCTCAAAAAATGTATCGAACGTTTAATCTTTAATAACTTCCCTATATGGAAAGCTTTCGCGGACTTTGAGTGTCATACGGTAGAACTGGGTTCAACTTAGATTTACGGTAGGAGCGGATCACCAATTTCTCTTACTTACTGTAGGATATACGGTAGAAATTTTCAACTGATTTTATGCTTACGACAGATGAGAACTGCTTCTAAAAAATTCTAAAAAAAACAGAGAGATGTTAAACTGAAGTTTTCGGGGATGCTGAATCTAATTGCGAAGTTTTTCGCTGCAGTATTCCTCATCTTCCTAGGATATGCTCACTGTAAGGCTTTGGCTAACGCGAAGGCTTTCGATGACATGTTTGTCTTATAACTGCAACGTTGGTTTAGTAAATTTTAAAAAAAGGAAAAAATTTAGCGCAGCGCATATTGTAGGAAAATGAGAAGTACGGTAGCGAAAAACTTTGTGCAAGATTCAGCATCCCCGAAAACCTCACTTCAACGACCTTCGGTTTCTTGGAATTTTTTAGAAGCAGTTCTCGCATCAGAAGCTCAAAATTAGTTCAGATTTCTACCGTAATCCTACAGTAACTAAGAGGAATCCTTGATTCGCTCTATACTGCAAATCTAAGTCGAACCCAGCTCTATCGCATGACACTCAAAAATCCGCGAAAGCTTTCCATATAGGGTAAGCTTTCGCCTTGTTTTAGGTACCATTTTGTAGAGCTGGCTTCAACTTAGAAATTACACTATAAAGAGAATCACCCACCGCTCTTCATTACTGTAGGATTACGGTAGGAACTTGAAACATATGGTGTCAATGTCGAAAATAGCTGCCATTTCGAGATTTTTCAAAAATGTGAAAACTTGTGAAATAGGGTTTTTATGGCGCTGATTTCAATACTTAGCTATTCATACACTTTTTAGGAACATTGAAAAAATGGCCGCTACCTCTTACTTGGCATAACTCTTCAATGAAGCATCATAATAAGTTGGAAACTTTACAGTTGAAATTAGCAACTCTAAATAGCCTGGTGTAAAAATTTTCAGGCTGTTTTGTTTCTTTTCTGAGGAAAAATATGGCCTTTCATGGCTCAAAACCCTCTTTGAAGTTTCTGGCGTAATCGTACAGTAACGAAGAGATATAGGTGACTCGTTCTATACCGAGGATGTAAGTTGAAGCCAGCTCTACAAAATGGTACCTAAAGCAAGACGAAAGACTTTTTGGGAAGAAAAATATCAACGATCAAACATTGCATACATACTTTTGGCACACCCTGTATATATGGCAGAGCAGTTCGCACATCAATTTGATATATTAGGTTGGTCCGAAAGTTCTTGCGCATCATTTTCAAAAAATCATAACTTCCTTGCCACTAGACGGATTTCGTTGAAATTATATCTTTTCGAAAGAGGAATCCATGCTTCTTACAGCTGTTCCTTCGCCATGAAATACTTCGAGAAACTACGAGAGTTACAAGCAGTTGAAGGAAATAAGTCAAAATTGGCAGCTGGGTCATAAAAAATTCTGGTAGTGTTTTTAAATGGTAGAGAAAATTATGCTCATCACAATGGTACTTTCCTATGAGTTGAAATGAAAAAGATTGAAAGTCAGTAGCAAATAAAGAGAGATCCTTCAGTTTTGCAATTCTTGAGCATTCTCAAAAAAGCACAGAAACGCCACAGAAAATATGGAAAAGTCATGAACGCGGGTACTGTGACATTCTCTTTCTAGCTGAGCAAGTTTCGAGCTAATCGAGAGCAATTTCGTTTTTCGTGATTTTTTCGGATTCTCGGGCCTGCATTTTTCACGAAAATCAAAATTGCTCTCGATTGGCACGATTTCCGCTCAGCTAAAAAGAGAGGGTCACAAAACCAATGCTCATGACTTTAATGTCATTTGTGTAACGTTTTAAAGCTTTTTTGAGCATGCTCAAAATTACAAAACCAAAGGAATTCTCTTTATTTGCTCCTGATTCTCGATCTTTTCCGTTTTAGCTCATGAAACCATTGTAATGAGCATAATTTTCTCTATCATATAAAAATACTTCCAGAATTTTTCGTTACTTAGCTCGAAAAATGCCAATTTTGACTGATTTCCTTCAACTGCTTGTACTCGTAGTTTCTCAAAGTAATTCGTGGCGAAAGCACAGCTGTAAGGAGCATGGATTCCTCTTTTAAGGAGGTATAATTTCATCGAAATCCGTCGAGTGGCAAGGAAGTTATGATTTTTTGAAAATGATGCGCAAGAACTTTCGGACCAACTTAATACAACACCAGATTTCACACAATCTCCGAATTGTCCGTATGAGCACACAAAGCAGTCTCTCGTGGTACAAACTTTATCGTACAATCCATTATGTATTAATAGCTTTCTGATGTTGTCTCGCGAGATGTTAACTAAGACGACATCTTTCTCAAGCTGTGCTTATATCAGACATTGTTTGAATGCGGTAGTGACCCTTCCGGAGATAAAAGGCAAGCACAACAGTACTCTATTGGTAACTTGTTTGCTTGTCTTTACAGTGTTTCTTTTCGAACATCCGTGTCGCATAACATATCCATTCGAGGCTATTATTTCGACTCCAGCTTCAATGAGTCCTGCCTTTCAACATTACCGCTGCAGATATTCGCCGCTATTCTGATCATATTATGTACGAAGGCTCGTTTGACAGCTTCTGGATGTGCGGATTATGTGTGCAAGAAGTCCACTGGGAAGGCATAGAATGAGCGAACATAAGTGTTAATTACGATATCAGGTGCAAGGTTTTGGCCCATGAACACCAAATTTCCGCACGAAAAGCCTTGGAAGGCTTCCACATTCTTGCTTGCAAGATCAAACCAAATAGCAAGAACGAGAAATTATCTATAACGAGTGACTTAATGCCGTATCTGTCGTACTGTAAACTATAAGATTGTGTGCCCTACTTAAGCAGCTCCACAGTAGCTTGGGTACTTACTTATTTGACACCGCACTCGACCAAGCACATCCGAAGCGGCTGTTAGCTCCAACATCTGTGATACACTTGGTGGGTGAACCTTCGCCCTCAAACTCCTCATCTCCACTCAAGACGAATCGAGTGGCAAGTTGGTGGAGATATTTGGCGGCAGAGATCGTGTGTATCAACGTGACTGACGCATTTTCAGCCCCTGAAAACGATTGCCGAAACGTCGGGTAAGTATATCATCTATAATAACCTGTATACGGCATAAAATGGCAATTGAAATTATTCATTCTTAAGTAGGCAAAACGTTTTATATTTATGCTTACAGAAATGAGCGATTTGGCGATCGCCTTAAACTTGAGAGTTTTTGACCCATAAAATGCCACCAGCGAGTAGTTGTTCTGAAGCGTCTATTTCTCAGTTTATTCAAGCATGCAATGTGTAAACAACATGCATTCTATACAGTAGCTATGCTCTCAAAGGAATTCGTTCATCTACGCCTGAGTTGTGTCCAAGAAAGTGGAAGCAATGCAATTTCGATTTCGAGTGTAGGCGGGCAAAATATGAGATATTGGAAGACGAGAACAGAAGCCCAATTGCACCATTGTTAGAAAGCACATAGAGAAAGCTTTACATTGACATGCATGATCTGTATTTGAAAAAGAATGAAAAAAGTTATTCCAAAAATAGGTCTCATGAAACGGACATCATTTTTGCACCAACTCAATATAGGCTGCTGCATGACGAAGGCGCACTCATGAAACGGACATCATTTTTGCACCAACTCAATATAGGCTGCTGCATGACGAAGGCGCAGTCTTCGGACGTGAACGCGGCTTTATTGGCTGCGGAGCGCACAGGGCGCAGTTTACAACAGTGAAGATACGCGAGTGTAGCGTTCGCACCCGCTCAACCAATAATGCCTCTGCGCCTTCGTTCTGCAGCAGCCTTTACTTACATGAGCATGAGCCGTAAAAACATGCAGATGACTTGCTTGTATTTGTAAATAACTGAAGTAATTTTTGAAATTTTCTTGAAGTTTAATTTAGCTTTGTGAAAAAATTTTGGGGGCGTGATTGCTTCGGGAGAATTCGGCAAAAAATTCTGACAAAGAAGAGTTCCCAAGTCAGCTCGGCCAACCCGGATGGGTCATGCAATTACCATAACAGGCTTGTAATGGTGATTCCAAATCTGTTTTTGTTTTCTGCGGAACGATTCTACGAAAGAAGTTATGAGGGTTCGAAAGTTTGAAGTTGTCATGTTTGAAGTGGCTTAAAAATTAGCGGAAAGCTCTAAAACAACACCTAGCGAACTTCCACTGGCTGTTCTCCGTCCTTGTATTCAGCATACTGGATACAAAACTGAAAACCCATTTTTACGTAATATTGAACAGATTTCGCCAATTTTACGCCATTTTAGACTTGACAGATTTGGACTTTCAAACGCTGATAACTTCTTTTGTAGAGTTGTTCCGCAGAAAGCAAAAGCAGTTTTGGAATACGCGTTTCAAACCCGTTATGGTGATATATGATTCATCCGGGTTGGCCGAGCTGACATGGAAACTCTTCCTTATGAGAAGCAAAAATTTTCGGAGTGCCCAACTAAGCCACGAACCTCGTGGGATGGGACCACAACTGAATGCAAGAATATCATTTAGGAGCTTAAGCCTAATTCAGCAAAGATTCCTTTTTTGTACTTTGCTCCGGCAGTTCAATACACTGAAACGCGGCTCTTGTATCAAATGCACTCGGACAGAAAACACTGAAACTCAAAAGTAAAAAAATGTAGATAAGCGATCAATTTTACTTGTTTAACAAAGAAATTCTGGTTTGGATAATACAGGGTGTCTTAAAAAATGTTCCTTGAACTGCCAATAACTTTTCTTGTAGCGAAGTATTTTTTGAAAAGCTTCAGATACAGCTTGAAAAGCTGGCTTTTACTTGGATTTACAACATGGTTCAAATCAAGAATCTTTCTTCATTGCTGTAGGATTACGGTACGAACTTTGAGGAGGTTTGAGTAAATAAGAGTCGTATTTCACCCCTAAAATAAAACCAAAGAAGCTGAAAGCCTCCTACACTAGGTTAATCAGAGTCGCTGATTCTAAACATAAAACTCGCACGTCACGTAACGCATTTTTCATAAGTTATGCCAGATACACCACAATTTTTGCTATTAAACAAATCTGATTGGGCTATTTGAAAAGCTCTACTGAAGAGCAAAAATCTGTGTACAATCAGCACGCGTGGAAACCTTCTTACCCGAGTTTTGTGATTTTTGGAATTTTTTTAAAGGCCTTTTTCACAGTAGCGCCATACGCTGCAAGTTCCTACCGTGCTCCTACATTAATAAATATAATCCTTAATTCGCTCTGTAAATCTGAAATGATCAACTTATAAAACGGTACTCAAAGCTTCTAGAGAGACTTCAGTGCAAGAGATTGACAATCAAGCAGTATCGTGGCACAACTTTTTGGAATATCACCGTGTATGTTGTAATTTTTGTAAACTAAGGATCATTATACTCATATTGGAACAGCCCGTTTACCATTTTTCGTATAGATGCAGGAAGAAGAGAATCATTGTACTCATATTGGAACAACTCGTTTACCATTTTTCGTATAGATGCAGGAAGAAGAGAATCATTGTACTCATATTGGAACAACCCGTTTACCATTTTTCGTATAGATGCAGGAAGAAGTGAATGTTAGTTACTACATACCTGATGCTGCCACACTGCAATTTCAGCGTTTGAGAAGACACGTTTTTAGCGGGTAGACCAACTCATCTTGTGCAAACGCATAAGATGACTTACAAGGGAAGGATATTAACTTAGATTCGCCTTTTGACATGGGACAGATAAAACTGGAATCAGCTTCGGGCGCTAATTCCAAGTATGCTGTTTCTAGCTTCTTAGCATTATTCGAAAGCGAGTTATGGGCTTGCTGTTGTGAGTAACTATAAACTTCAAATGTTGTAAAACGGGATGTGAATAAGAATCTGCTCGAAAAAAAGTGCTAGGATGTTGACCTAGCATCAGGTTATCTTTTCAATCGTAAGAGGAAGCATTATACAATTGCAAAACCACCTAGGCTCGACACCGTAGCAACAGTGGGTCAAGGAGCACGCATATAAAAAAGACTATAATTCGCTTCAAAATAGAGCTAAGAGCAGCTAGGAGCAGCATATTTGGAATTAGCGTTCCAAGCTTATTCCAATTATATGTGCTTCATCTCAAAAGGCGAATCTAAGTTAGTATCCTTTCCCTGTTAGCTTAATTTAACCATTGAAGCAAAAGCAGAACTGGGGCAAAATTTTATGCGCGATCCACGTGTAAAGAATAATTCTTATGCGAGAAAAAGAATGAAACATGCTGTGGATGATCTAAGCATTGAGTTATCTTGACTTCATTCTTAGTGAATAAGAAAGTACAATTTATTCAAATGTCAAAACAATAAATTACATTTATCAGTCTTTGGGCGAAAGTTATCAAGGATTTACATATTCGCATCCGTAGAACCACTCAAATCATTTTGGGTCAAAAAGTGACACTATGAGAATCTTCGCTTGGTTACTGATAATACTTCACATTACGAGAGGACACAATTATGATGCATACGGTAAGCCTTGCCATGTTACACTTACGGAAACGTTCCATGTATGCGATATTCAGATGCACACAACTGCGGTAAATCGCAAATAAATCCTGCACGAAGTCCAGTGGGAGTAAGAGCCAGGTAAAGTGCTTTTCTTGCTTTGTTTTTAACCTCTTGCTCTTGATGATCGCTCAAAACTTTTGGTGATAGCGCAGGTAGAGACGCGGTAAGTTCCTTATAAAATGTTGTTTACCCAGTCTCCTTGGATATTCTCAAGAAGAGTACGTACTAGCATTGGTGCTCTAGCCAGACACTGAAAATTGAAAATTTAAACTCAGACTTTGTTACATGACTGGCAACATTCTCGAAATTTGCCTGATTTTAAGAAGTTTTTACAAAGTTAATTCGATTAGTCGAAGTGGCCTTTCCAAATGAGTCTCATACTTTTTGGAGCATGAAACGTGATTCCAAATCTTAGAATCTGCAAGCGCCTCTGCATGCCGAGTCATAAATACTTTCTTGGTGCGAAAGGTGAACGCATAATCTAGGTGAAATGAATTTATCGTTTTTTCAAGGCTCAAACAGAGCAGTGTTTAGTATGGTTTTGGACAGAAGATTTTCAAATGGTTTTTGGTAATCAACATCAGATCATTAGAAATTTTGACATATTAGGTTGGTCCGAGAGTTCTCCCATCATTTTCAAAAATCATAACTTCCTCCTCACATGATATTTTTGCATAACTAAAACTTTACTGAAAAGAGCAATTCATGCACTTTCTAAAATTACCTTGCCTGCTATCTACTAAGCTCTGAATGTAGAGAATGAATTGGGAAAATTAAATCACTTCAAGTTCGAAATTTTTAAACAAGCCCGTTAAAAAATCCGAAACTGTGCCGTAAAATCCAAAACAGACACTATTCTAAATTTTTGACCCCTTTTTGAAGCTGAGCAAAATTCGCGCTGATCGAGCTGTTACTTTTTTTTTGCTTGAAAATCATAACTCTTCTAGGACGAGCTTCATCGGCGCGAGTTTTGCTTATATAGAAAGAGGGACTAGAAAACCTAGGTTACTGACTGTTTTGGATTTTATGGCACAGTTTTGATTATTTTAACAGGCTTGCTTCAAAATTCTAAATTTGAAGTAATTTCCTTTTCCCAATTTTATCTCTGCAATCAGAGCTTAGTAGATAGCAGCCAAGATAGTTTCAGAAAGTGCATGAATTGCTTTTTTCAAAAAGGTTTTAGACATGCAAAAATATCATGCGAAGAGGAAGTGATAATTTTTTGAAAATGGTGGGACAAAACTTTCGAACCAACCTAATATTTTGTTATAATTATGCATCCAATTTTTAGACTCAAAAACGCTCATAACTCGACCACCAGAGGCTAGGCAGATAACGAAGACAGATTTAGAATCAGCGCTCAATGCTCTTTATAGTCGCATCAATTTCATGTGAAAAGGCCAATTCCACCAAATGGACCTTGCACTAAAACAGCAGAAAAGTGTGCGTTCCTTTTTCATGGAAAGTGATTGCAACATGCCTAAGTTTGATAGTTTTCATAACAGCCCTTTGACTGGATATTTTTGCTCGACTTGATGATTAGTGGCTCAATAACCTAATTTCTCACGACACTTCGAGGGTAACAGCCGCACTCTGTTGCAAATTGCAAGGGAGATTTTGATACAATCCGTTTGCGACTTAAATTTTTTAGAAGGATCTCACCGTGTATAAGACCTGCAGAAGACAGCTTGCGCCATAAATTCGTGCGTAAGTAATCAGTGTCAAGCATTAAATGCAATTTGACAGGCTGTAATGCAGAACTATTCATTTGGCTCATTATCTCCAACAAATGCAAATCATTCTCCTTTCGCTTGCACAAACCAAAAACCTCTTCTTGAAGAAACCCTGCGTTTAAGATCTTCATAACGAATCTTTAAAAAAAGATTTCGGAAAATAAACTTTGCATATCTTTGCCTTATGTGGGGCTGAATTCGCTATAAGCACCAGTATTTCTTTTTGAATAATGTGCTCCATCGCTTCAGCGCGTTTTTTGGAATAGTCCACAAGGTTACAAGTAGTTGACGAAAATAGGGGGACTTTTCCGTTAAACATTATAGATCCTCAAACTATTTTTTTAGAGTGCGCTGTGCACTTTTCTTTCGCTTTAATTGCTTATCCTGTGAATTTACGATTGGTTCTATAGGTTTTTTTCTTCACTGAGAACGGTGCCGAAATGCGTGTTGTCTAATCTCGTGAGCAGCTAGTCACATCTATAAGTATCATAGCCTTTATAGCATCGTTGAGATGTGAACTCTTTTGCTTGCGATAGGGACGAAAATAAAGTACTCTCATGACAACTTTGCATACTGGTGCTGCACTCACACCAAAATCTTTTGCTTTCATCAAAGGTATCGATTCGTTTTGATACGAGTGCTGATTTCAAAAGTTGTAGAAGCTGATACACCCTTCTTTCCATGCTTGTCAGTTATCTTCCCAATCTTCCCTTGGTGGTAGAAGTACTACAGTTCAGAAGAAATCTTTTTCGTCGAGTGCTCTTGAAGCACAAATGCTTGATTGAAATTGTTGTGAGTGAACCGATCGATGATCTACTTATAAATGGTCACGTATATAAGTGCGGAAATAATTTTGGCGCACCCTGTAAAAGGTAATAGCGGCTGTACATATGAATTTAATTTGCTGCATCTTCGGCAAATCGTGTGATAGTTCGTTTACATTGTTGATTTAATTTCCTTTTATCTTGGTGTGATGGTAAATCGTGCATTGCCATTGAAAACTCTTAACCTGTTGTCTTCATGCGACTATATAACATCGCTTTTCAGACAAGTCATACTACTTCAAAAACAAGTAGAGAAATTTAACGACGTGCTTCGATTAAATGCTATTGGCCTCGCCTCCTTAGAATTGCTTTCAAAAACCTATCTTGTAAATTCAAAAATGATCTTTTCCGCGACGCATTTGGAATGTCGATGTTGAGCTTTGTAAAAACAGAAAGGAACATCATCAACGAGCAATCCAAAATTGCCAGGAAAAAGCAGTCTGTGTTACAAAATTATCGGCTTCATGGATATTTTTTTCAAAACGTTATTGCTTGAAAAAACAAAGCTTGACATAACATAAAGGCGAGAGACAACGAACTTTACCGTAGCAAATATAAGCGGTGACAGTGTTCACATAATTAGTTCATTGTTTTGTTTATAATAAGTTTGTTGAGTATTTTTTAAAAGGTTCTTTCAAAGTAGCTCCAAGAAAAAAATTCTCGAAAGTGGATTTTCTGTTTTCGCATTTTCTGTTTCAGAGCCAGAAATCTTTCCCGATTTTCTGAAATTCGGAGTGACGCGGGGAAATCAAAATTTTTTGAATGAATATACACACGTCCACGTACGCAAAATCTCAAAAAAAAAAGACTACAATAAATGCTAACAAACATGTCATACAACCTAATATTTCTTGAGTTATTTGTTGTAGGTACGCATACGCAAACTTTGAAAGCAAAACCATACTAAACGTCTGGGATAATTTTGATTTGATCATTTATACACTACTTACATTAAAAATCATAGGTAAATTTTTTACACTTTTTTGACGGATAAAATTAAAAAAATCAACCATTAAGAAAGTCCAGCAACAGTTTCTTGCATTTTTTAGTTGGCTTTCGCTGGGCGTTGCCTCATGTAATTGATTTTAATTTGTAGCGTTACCGCTCTTCATGTGATAGGTATTCAATTGTCAAAGTTCTTGATTCAGGAAGGCGCTTCTGCGAATCAAGAATTTTGGCGTCCAGATAGGATGTTGAAAAAAAGGTCGGAATGATTGACTAGCGAGGGACGTGTAAAGGGTGAGCTCCTGACAAAAGTCGAACGAGTCATAAACGATGATGAAAACTCTGCTAAATATTCGAAGCTTGTCAAAAGACTGACTTTAAAGACATGGAAGTTCAAAGGAGCGAGAAATTCCGAATCAAGTATAGTTCTAAGTGCTCTCTTATCTCAATTTTACGAAATTCAAGGATAGTTCCAGAAACAGAATTCTTTGAATTACCCTATTTTCAGGTGTATAAGCCGCACTTTTTCAAATTTTCGCCCGGGCTGCTCCGCCGCTTTATTATGTTTCGAGAAGCGATCCTTATGCCGCACGGTTATTTCAGGCAATACGCAGCACGGTATAGGGTCCTTTGGTTGCGAGGTCCTTTGATGTGTTCGGGCTGATCGATGTAAGCTAGGACCACCCCGCGGCTTATACACCTGAAAATAGGGTATCTGACATACGCTCTCACCCCCTTTCAATCAGTTTTTTCTTTAGATCCGCACAATATGTTCATGCTAGTCAAAGGAATAGCCCTAGAAGACCGACAGCAAACGGCTTTTTACAGAGTAAAACTTGAAAAAACTGAGCTTTTTTTTTCAAAATTATAATGCATATTTGAACGAAAACCTAATGAAGTAATTTTCTGGCCACCAAAGATTGAAAAGGTTTGTGAATTTGGCCTTTGCAAACTTATTGGCAAATGTTTGTCAGTTTTTGGCAAGGATACAGGAAAAGCGTAAAAACGAGTTTGTTCGAGCGCACTGTTATTTGTATGTGGTTCCGCTTCATTCAGAAAATAGTGATCGTCTACCAAAATTTCTTGAATCGTTAAAAAAGCACAAATGCATTTAGAGAATGAAATTGCAGACGATCTTACATGGCTGATGCTCACTCCAATGACACAAGCATTGTCGGTGATTCAGGGAGTCAGAAGTTGGACGACAACGTCATTGACGATGAAGATGAGGACGATTTCATGCAGGAAAAGGCAAGGAAAAGATTATACATGTTTAACCCATGCCCCTGCTACCTGATTGCCCTAGTGCCCTTGGAGTTTCTGCCTTTCGATGTTTGTAGACCTGAAATCGATCTTCCTTCAAAGCTATAGAGAGCTACAATACCGCTCACAGAATGTGCAAGATTTCGTGAATTTCGCGAAATTCCCGGAAATTCACGGAACTTCGCGACATTCCTGGAATTTAGCGGAATTCTCGGAATTTCGCGAAATTCACGAAATCTGCACATTCTGTGAGGAGTATTGTATGTGGTTGATAAACTGACAGAACAGTATTATTATCATCTGCTGCTAGCAGATTAATGTAAAAAATGTCATATAAATTTTTTCACCCAAATCTTCATGCTAAAGTGATCTGTAAGCTTTTTTACAGTTATGACAATGGCATACAGTTATGACAGTGAAAAGTGAAAATTCTTGGTGAATTCGTCGGTGAAGTCGGCGAAAAAATGTCGCTGACCTTGTTGACATCGCCGAGAATTTTTACATTGCAAAGTCATAACTGTTTGACTGCATGTATTAGGTTGGTCCAAAAGTTCTGTCCCACCATTTTCAAAAAATCGTAACTTCCTCCTAACATGATATTTCTGCATGGCTTAAATTTTTTTAAAAAGAGCAATTTGTGCACTTTCTAAAACTAACTTGGCTGCTGTTTACTAAGCTCTGATTGCAAAGATAAAATTCGGAAAAAGAAACTTCAAATTCGGAATTTTTAAGCAAGACCGTTTAAAAATCCAAAACTGTGCCATAAAATTCAAAACAGCCACTATCCTAGACTATTTGACCCCCTCTTTCCAGCTGAGCAAAATTCGCGCTGATCGTGCAGTTACTTTAAAAGTTATGATTTTTTGAAAAAAATGTCAAAAAATCAAATTTCTTAAGGAACTGATTTTTTAACGTTTTTTCTTCGAAAATTATAACCTATCTAAGAAGGGCTCGATTAGCGCGAGTTTTGTTCCCATAAAAAGAGGAGATCAGAAAACCTAGGTTACTGCCTGTTTTGGATTTTATGGCACATTTTTGGATTTTTTAAAGAACTTGCTTAAAAATTCCGAAAATGAAGTGATTTCCCCCAATTTTCTCTCTACATTCAAAGCTTAGTAAATAGCAGACAAGGTAGTTTTAGAAAGTATATGAATTGCTCTTTTTAATAAAGTTTTAGCCATTCAAAAACATCATGATAGGAGGAAGTTATGATTTTTTGAAAATGGTGGAACAGAACTTTCGGACCAACCTAATATAATACAAATCTTTAAATTTCCGCTCAAATGGATCACTCAATGTGCTGACAACATTTCTTACATTGTTTTGCTGCTGGTGGCATAATAAAAGAATGGAAATCTGCCAAAATACATGGTTCTCAAATTTGGGTGAGAATTCATAAGATCGTGATTTTGTAACCCCATAATCTGACAAACAGTGCACATAGGGGCGTGCATTAATCACGCGTTTTACAGAGATTTCAATTCACAAGAAAAGCAAGCAAGTTTATACGGGCGAGAAGTGCAAACGAATTTTCAACCTTGCGTGGTTTAACTAAATTTTTTCTATTTGAACTTTACCGTGAAACTCTTTAGCGCGAAATAACTAGATTTTCGTTAACAGTGGGTATGAAGGCTATTGTGAGCAGAGTTTCGGTTCATTCCAAGATCATCAATAGCCAAAACCAGCGGCGAGGTCAAGAACGGGGAGAGGTTATCGTACCTGCTGATTACAAAAAACACATTTGAGTCGCACGATAGCCCCTTTCTATAGGGTTAACAATGACTAGATTTTGGGTGAATATGGATTTTAGCAAAGTTTGCTGGCCATTTTCGTCTTCATTTCATCAGACATTTTGCACCCTTTTAGCTGCTAAGAAACCTCGAAGCTGCTGTATTAAACGATGTTCATCATTGCTTTATCTGTTTACATTGAATATTCGGTTGCGCCCTAACAAATACCCGTTTGTAGAACATAATTAAAGACCTTAGATTGAAACTAAATATTCTTCACCGTTCACCGTACTCTTACAATATGCATACAAATCGCCACTCACGAAAATCGATAAAATTGATATTTTGGAGATTGCGAAATCCTCAAAATCTTTAAAGTCAACAAAATCGAGAAAATCAACGTCAAGTTGAACTCCAAAATTTTTAATTTTACTAATTCCGAGATTTCGTAACCCTCAACATATCAATTTTATCAATCTTCGAGATTCCATGCCTCCCACTTACGATTTTTGCTCGATATAAAAGATATGAGACCTGACAAATGAAAATAAATCGATTCTGAACGGTTTTTGCCAGTTTCCAACGTTTTCTAAATTTCGAAACCTTCAGTTTATCATTTTACCACCCTAAACTTTTGCAGCTTTTGCAATTTTCGAAAACACAATCTTGCCCATTTTTGAAAATTCGAACCTCGCGAATCCTCCAAAATTCCTCAAGTCCCCACTTTTCTCAAGCTCCGCCCACTCTATACGGTAATCCTATCTCCACTCCCTCAGACAATTATGGCGAGCACCCGCCGACCATCCACGGTGACGCCACGCCCATCCCGAGGGCGCACCGGTAAGTGCCCGATAAACGCCCGGCAGTGGCCGCGGGTGACCCGATAAGCGTCCGAATAACAGCATCGGGTGGCCCGACAAGCGTCCGATAAATGCACGATTCGCACCCGCGGGTGGCCCGATATGCACCCTGTACTCGAATTACGAAAAATTTTGAAAGCCGTTTCCACTTCCGGTTTAGCATAAATGCCACAATCCACACAAAAATAGAGAGTGACGTTCACATCCCTCCCCATCGACGCTCCAATGTATAACCACAATCGAGGCTCTGGTTGTGTCATCCAAGAGATTTTCGACGACCAGAACTTAGCTTGTCCTTGCAATTTGATGTGGAGGATAGCTCTATCACTGTGCCGTATCTTACGCAAGTAATGTTTCCTCTTACAGCGTGCAGGAATTCCGGCATCCAGCAAGGCCCGGGGCTCGCCAGATTCGTTCTGTCGGTTCGTGGCCTAGAGGGCCGGGGCTTGCCCGAAAACTACATATGCAGGGAGCCCTGTAGGGGCCGAGGCTCGCCCATGTGGTTTTTCTCGAGCCGCGGGTGTTCCGATAAAATATTTGAGGCCCGCGGCCTTTCCGTAATGATAACATTGGGCCGCGGGTCGCCGAGCAAATAAATCTAGGGCCGCGGATGGTCAATGCAAGAATTTGACTCCCGCGCACCGCCGAAGGACACGGTTAGAGGCCGCGGGTGCTCGCAGTAATCGTCTGAGCCATCGTAGTACAACACATTCCATTTTTTCTCCATCGATTTCCGCTTTTTCATCCATTTGCTTGAAAACCACCAAATTTTAGCCGAATTCTTAGCTAGCTCCGCCTCATACCCAAGTCTCCGCCCATTCCTTCCCCACCTTTCCCCAACCCACCTGCCCGGGCTACTAACCCACCACAACATTAAATCACTACTGACCGTTTATATTTAATTTATATGTTTCATCCTCCTGGAATTATTATTTTATTTTAGTCTATCATAAAGTTCCCCCCAGAAAATTTCAGTCCAGAACCGTCTTTGGATCAGCTCCTTGTGTATTCAACCTCCGATTTTTCTCTAAATTTTCTGAAGTAGCCTTTTCGAAAAGAAACAGAAATACGGGTATTCGAGCATCCCGTCCCCATTTTACACAAGGATATGCATAATAATTACTTTGCCCCACTTATAAACCTCCACCTACAGAAGAGCTCAGACTTCGTTCTCTTATCATAGAAGAAAAAAGGATCACAAAATGCATATATTGACTATCTAGCATTTGCTTATCAGCGTATTCGGGATGATATGAGGTCACCCTCGCATCTTAATTGGCAAACCTTGCACATCCGGCTGTCAATTACAATACCGCTCACAGAATGTGCAAAATTTCCGTGAATCTGGTAAAATTCGTAAAATTCTGCGAAATTCCCAGAAATTTGCGGAACTTCGCCCACATTCCTGAAATTTCGCGGAATTCCGGGAATTTCGTGGAATTCTTGAAATTTTGCGAACTTCAGGAAAATTTTGCACATTTGGTGAGCGGTACTGTAGTACGTTGAGACAGCATGCGCGCTTTCTCAAGGGTGTGGTTATACAAAATGAAGATATGCATCATAGAGGAAAGTTAGCTTTTGGAATTGCCACTACTCATTCTCCGGAACTATGAGCCACTTGCATTATTTGAGTGCAAAATTTTTGGACATATAGCGTTCCAAATGTACTTAGTGTTTGATTATCAATAATTTTCTTGCCATTTAGTCTTTCAAGAAGTTTAAGGTACCATTTTATAGAGTGTGACCAAGATCAAGCCTGGGGTCTTTCATGTCATCCCTGGGGTCGTATTGAGGGGTCAAGAAAAGAGAGGCCATCGAGGTGATTCTATGTCAGCGATAACATAATGTTTGTCAACAGTAGCCCCATTATGCAAAGCACAAGACATTGACGTTTTTTTCCTATCATCGTATACGTCAGTAAACATAATAAAAGACCTTTAAAAGCATACTAGCATCGTTTTCGTGATTAGCACATCAAATAGTCTCTGTGGGCCAATTTTTAGCGAATTCTGAAAAATCTAAAAATCGGACAACTTAAATAAGATGGTTATTGATTATTTCCGATCATGTTGACTTTGTTTTGAAGGTGAGTTGACTATTTTTTTTCTACAGTTTATACAAAAAACTACCACTTCTTTCTTAACTTCAGAAATCCTACTTTAAATAACCTCCAAATAAAGGAATTAAGAGCAACCCCAAGATCTCATTTGTTTCATTTTTCGCTTTCAACATCTCAAAACAGTAAAGACCAGTTAGTTTTAAATTACGTTACTGTAATTTACGAGGCTTAGATTATTGAGTGTATGCATTCTTGTCGCTTCCTCTCGCGAACTAACGTAGTAACGAAGACTTAGCATGTTACCGTAACTCAGTATTTTTCATTTGCATAGGTGAAGAGAAACGATTATATCTGTCCCTAGAAGATATAATTCTGATAAAGTTTTTGATGTATGAAGAAGAACGTTGAGCAGTAGCAACGAATATAAAAAACGCAAATATCTGTATAAATTCAAGGTAAGTTTATGGGGTGGCACAACCCCATGTGGCAGCCACATTTTTCTGGGGCTACGCCACATCCCATCACTTACCCTCAAAGAGAATATCAAAGAACAATAAGGTTTAATGGCCAAAAAGCCAAAAAGTTTTTGTGGAAGTGATTAAAGCTGAATTCGTCTAACTTGTTTGAGCATAGCTGCTGGAAAGCACAACCACTGCGAGTGGAAAGTGGGACAGACGAAAATTTGGCTGACTTATATTTCTATAGTTTGATGGTTATGGCATAAACAAATTTGGAGTAGTGCTTTGTATTACGTACAAGATGAGGTAGCTAATTCACATTTAAGATATAGTTAACCATGTTTGAAAATGGCCACTTTATTCGAGTGGCTCAATATTGTTAACTCTCAGAATTTGCTATGGCCCACAGAGATCATTTGGCAAGATAATTACAAATATATTACTAGTGATTGGTAGAGCATTTATGTCATGCCTACTAATAGGCAAACAAAAATGTTGCGAAAAGGGTACTGATACGGAACTTAGGTGGGGGAGGGGGTCGTATCCGGCGGTCATGTCCACACCTCTTGTTCGACCCTCATTTCAACTTAGGGCCGCATGCACTAACCTCCCCGCTGGGGAGGGGATCGCAGCTCAAAAGAAAGCTTTATATTTCGAAACTCCAGATACCTGGATTTCACGTTGTGTACCTATCCGTAAGTATTCCTACTATCCTCCACTATGAACATGTTGAAGAGGAGCGAGAAGCTGCATGAACCGCATTTTCCAGCTTTTGTATGATCCCTGGTAATCCCCCGCGCTTTTCTTTAAAGTCATTTTTCTTTCTCCGAAGTTAACGAAAAACCTCTAAAGTTGCGCAGATTATTTAATCCGACAGTGCTAAGCATGCTGCTGATGAGAACAAATGAGTTTTTGAAAAGTCGAATTTTTCGGTAAACCTCGAATTTCGACCTGTGGACCATCGAAAATTTCATGACTTCAAAACATCATTTGTTCTTATCAGCAACATGCTTAGCACTGTCGGATTAGATAATCTGCGCAACTTTAGAGGTTTTTCGTTAACTTCGGAAAAAGAAAAATGACTTTAAAGAAAAGCGCCGGGGATCATCAGGGATCATACAAAAGCTGGAAAATGCGGTTCGTACATCTTCTCGCTCCTCTTCAACATGTTCATAGTGAAGGGTAGTAGAATTATTTACGGATAGCTACACAACGTGAAATCCGGGTATCTGGAGTTTCGAAATATAAAGCTTTCTTTTAAGCTGCGATCCCCTCCCCGGGGGTTGTTAATGCATGCGGCCCTTAGATTGTCAGTATAGAGCAAGTGACTAGTCGCTCCTCATCACAGTAAGACTGCGGTAGGAACTACCGGCATGTGACGTCACTGTAAAAAAAGCTGCGTTGTAAATAATTTAGAAAAAAACCGAAGATTTGAGTAATTGGTTTTCGTGGGGCCGATCTTATACTAAGCTATGTATACACGATTCAGGACACGCAAAGACTAGTCGCCGTTGTGTCTGACCTAGATAGTTCGTGCATGGGAGAGACAACAGATGGTAAGAGAAACAAAGAGCGCTCGATCAGAGAGACGCCGATACGTCCGCAATCTTTGCATGCTACGAATCGTTAATCGTTATACAAGATTTCTAAGCTTTCAAAGCCTGTAAGAATACTGCTTAGCAATATCGAAAAAACAGCTGCTACTGCTTGCCTAGCATAACTTCTTCAGGAAGCATGAGATGCAAACCCCATATTAGAATCAGCGAATCTAATTAGCCTAATGAGGGTTTTAAGGTTTTGTTTCCTTTTCAAGCCAAAATTTGACCCCTCATGGCTCAAAACCCTTTGTAATCCTACCGTGAATCTACAGTATTGAAGCGAGATAGATGATTCGCTCTATACCTTAAAATAAATTAGAGCCAGCTCTAGGAGAAATACCTAGAGCTTCTTTAAAGACTTTATGACAAGAGAGTTATTAACAATTAAACAGTAGAAACATTTTTCAAAATACTCCGTACAACAAATACTTTGAAAAACAGATCTTTATTATGCAAACTTTTACATTATCGTCATACTAGTTGACTTACCCGGCTCCGCCCGGCCCTGTCATTAATATATTCGTAATCAGCATGCTCAATTACCCACCTGTGCTAACTCCCAGCCCCGTAGCTCAAATTTTGCAAAAAATCGATAAAATCGATATCGATCGATGACGAAAAGTAGCCTATGACACCCGCCGGGGCCCGAAGTGTATGTGTGCCAAGTTTGGTCCGGATCGGTTCAGAAATGGAATTTTCTATTCGGAACATACGTACACACAGACAGACAGACAGACATACAGACAGACAAACAGACATTCAGCATTATATATAAGATAGAAGACAAATGCAAAGAATCACGCATAGACTTGGGCTACATTTCTTCATTTAAATCTCCGCGAAAATCTTCTTCATTTAATTCTCTTTTTTGTCTAAGCATTTCTATGCTGAAACCAAGCGAAACAATGATTTTACATATGTGGCACTTTAGCTTCCGACAAGAATCTAGTTCCGAGATAAGCATCCGATTTTTGCGAAATTTGTGATTTATGAAATTTGAGCAGAGGTCTATAAGTCCCTGATAGCTACTCTAACGAGCTTCCCTCGAACACTCTTTCCTAAAATAAAATTGGATAAATATTAGGTTGGTGCAAAAGTTTTGTCAGTTTTTTCAATCCATCGGCAAACAGGCTAAAATGAAGATAAACGAACAGTTCAAAATGTATCCGATGCGGAATTATTTCCTCTTTCAAACTGCTAAACTCACATTGTGTTTAATTGAGAGTGGATGAGATATTAGCTGGAAATTGCAACCATTCGTTTTTACCATGTCCAACTTTCACTATTTTCAGAATTTTTGTATGAGACTTTCGAAGGGGTTCTAATAAGCAGATAGGGCAAACCTTTTGCCAACAGAAGAAATTTTTTGTAGCCCTATGGCTTGTCTTTCAGAATTTCTACGATTTATTTTTTGAAGTGACCAAATTTTACATTTAGCTTATTTAAACGTCGTAGAACATAAAATGTTGAACACTTCGGTCACCATTCGATGCAATTTTTTCCTCATTCTAATACTTGCTTTTTTTGCCGAGGCAGGAGAAAATTGTGGGGAAAATCGCAGTATTTTTCTATTTCAGGAGTGCGCACTGACGTAACCTATGTTTCAAAATCTTCATAAATTGAAGCGAGAAGCGCTCATTTACTTTGTAATGATAGCGGTTAGTAATAATCGAGTGTTGAAACCTCAGCATTCTGTAGGTTTTGCCGTGTTTGGTGCAATAAGAGGTCATGCGATTTTATCAAAACACAGTTTGCCCTATCTGGTGGTTACTAGGGTTCCTCTGAAAGTCTCATACAAAAGTTTTGAAAATTAGCGAAAGTTGGACATGGTAAAAACGAATGGTTGCAATTTTCAGCGAATATCTCGTCACTCTCACAACGAAACACAACTGGAGTTTAGCAGTTGTAAAGAGGAAGAAATTTTGCATCGGATACATTTGAGATGTTTGTTTATCTTCATTTTAGCGTGTTTGCAGATGGATTGAAAAAACTGGCAAAACTTTTGCACCGACCTAATAAGTTTCAGCTTTCGTCATTTTAAGAGTCTCCAAAAACGAAAACGTTGCAAAAAATTTGGAATTTTCAAAGCAAAAATCTTACGATATACTTTTTCTGGTATTGAAAAGTTTATGCTTGTTGGACGCTTTTACGAAAAGTTTTCATTTTTGAGTTTGTAACAGAAAATGCCCAAATTAATGATTTGTAATTGAGATCATAACTTTTTACACCTACGTCTGATCAGCACAAACACCTTGTAATTGGAAAGAGTAGGTAAAGGAGTAGGTTTTGAAACTTATGCGCTGACAATTTCGGACATTACTGCAACGTTGCTGATTCTTGACGACTTAGCCTAAAATGGTCAAAACTTGAATGATCTTACTCTTAATTTTATTTCCGAAATTGATCGCCTAGAGCTCGCTCTGGCAATACTAAAAAGTAGACGGTTGTTTCTTTTCAAAAAAATCAGAGCGAAGTAAATTTGTCTAGACAGAGAGAGAGGTTGCGAACTTTTGCAAACGAAACGACAAAACTTTTGCATTGACCTATACTTTCTTCTGGTTTATTTCTCTTCTGCTCTTTCTTGTCCTTTCCACGGCCAACGCTCATTCTAAGCACGATCTCTTCAATATTTATTGTGATATACACAGATAATGGGAGGTAGACGAGCTGAAAGAGGTGAACTTCCATGGGCAGTATTGTTTCACGTTTGGAAAGATAAGTATTACATGAGTGAGTCGTTTTTACGTTTTAAAAAAGTACGTATGCATTACTCGGATTTGCAGATAATTCAGTCTAGAGAATGTACCTTGAATTTATTGTTGAGTAGTCAGGTTGAAGCATGCGAGAAAAAATGATTTGCGATCACTTAACATTGACCTCGGTACAAAAGATTTAAAGGACGTTATGCGTCGATGGTTGCGTCCACGCCGATTACGAGCATGCGCTGAAAACTCTAGTTTTTAATCGAATGGGCGCATTCCTTACACCTACGAATACTTCTTGATTGTATGCGCATGTGAAATCATTGCATAAAATCCAGATTGACAGAATGAAGTTATTTAATATGGCTGAATAAAGTACAATTTTTTGAATTTTACTCAAAACGAACAGTGGCAGCACACTTTTGCATGCAGGCCCATGCGGTGGAACGCTGATTTCAAGACGACATGTTATCACTGCAGCTCATTGTTTCCGGGCAACGGATGGCATAGGCCAATGCAGGTAGATCAGAATTGTAACCCTAACCATTTTTTCCCGCATTTTTCTGGTAGCACCTCGGACATGTTCTCACCGGAATTTGTGATACACAATACGGAAGTTTCCATCGGTGGAACTTGCAGTTTGGCAGGCAGATTTGGTTGTACTAGGTCAGATATTGGTAGAGTCTACAAAATTGCCCGGTACGTCTAGTTCACTGCGCTCACAATCATTTTCATGCAAATATCTCATTGTAGCGCATTTTACGAGGATTACTTCAAATTTGGCTGCAGAGGCACTCACGACATAGCGATCCTTGAACTGGCTGAGGATGTGCCAAAAACAATAAATCACGTTTGCCTACCCTTTATGCACAAAGTGGAGGAAATAGAAGATCCTTACCTAAAGCTAAGAGCATTTGGATGGGGAAATGATCGTGTGAGCCGTTCTGAAGAAAGACAGAGGTTTCAATAGTATCATTATTTCAGCATTAAACCATAACAACAATCTTTCACCTTACTTGCAAATAACGGAAATAGGTGGGAATGTCGGATCTGTTTATCTACCAACCGAGAAAGATATTTGATAAAGGTGCAAAACTACCGGAGTTAGTGTGCAAGAAAACGAATACTCTTGGAGCAGAAGATACATTTTGCGTCAAGTCCGGCCAGCAGCAATGGTGCAGAGTTAGTTTTTTCTTTGACATACGCAAAATGTTGTAATATAATTCTTTGCCGCTTTTCCCTGAATTCGCAAGGTGATATTGTTGCAAACTGAACGATTTCTCCTAACATATTACTCTTCAATCGAAAGGCGCGTACTGCATTTATTTTCCTCACAAACGCTAGCTCCTTTTATATAGACGATAATTTTGGCGCATTATATCTCCCCTCAAGGTGCTGCACCGGGTTGCGTCGGAATGGCTGAGGCAATTTTCGCAGCATTTGCTCGAGTTATCAAGTTGTCCCATAAGTTCTGCCAGTTTCAACTTTCAACTGCAATAAGTTACACCCTTCTTTCTTCTAAATAGGTTATAAACTGCCATTTTGTAGAAGAAAAATTTACCTGACTGAAAAATTAAGAAAAATCGTAGTTCCGTCCAAAAAGATCTTGCCAATCCTGACTTGCTTACTTAGGGCCGCATGCACTAACATCCCCGCGGGGAGGGGATCGCAGCTTAAAAGAAAGCTTTATATTTCGGAACTCCAGATACCTGGATTTCACATTGTGTACCTATCCGTAAGTATTCCTACTACCCTTCACTATGAACATGTTGAACAGGAGCGAGAAGCTGTACAAACCGCATTTTCCAGCTTTTGTCTGATCCCTGATGATCCCCGGCGCTTTTCTTTAAAGTCATTTTTCTTTCTCCGAAGTTAACGAAGAATCTCGAGAGTTGTGCAGATTGTCTAACCCGACAGTGCCAAGCATGTTGCTGCTAAGAACAAATGATGTTTTGAAGTCATGAAATTTGCGATGATCCACAGGTCGAAATCTGAGGCTTACCGAAAAATTCGACTTTTCAAAAACTCATTTGTTCTCATCAGCAACATGCTTAGCAGTATTGTGTTAGATGTTCAGTACAACTTTGGAAGGTTTTCGTTAACTTCGGAGAAGGAAAAATGACTTTAAAGAAAAGCGCCGGGGATCATCAGGGATCATACAAAAGCTGGAAAATGCGGTTTGTACAGCTTCTCGCTCCTGTTCAACATGTTCATAGTGAAGGGTAGTAGGAATACTTACGGATAGGTAGACAGCGTGAAATCCGGATATCCGAAGCTTCAGGATATGAAGCTTTCTTCTGAAGCTGCGATCCCCTCCCCGCGGGGATATTAGTGCATGCGGCCCTTAAACACCTCCTACATGAAAACACATATGAGTAGTTGTATACCATAAGCCTGTAGCAAGCGTCTCTAGCAGCCTGTAGAAGCCCACAGCATTTTCCTCGTTTTATCGGACTGCTGATTTCTAGATTTTACATTCAAAGTCAAGGTGAAGCAAAGCTGGTGCAAAAGTAAGAACGACATCATGTAAAGCTTGCTTTGCCCTAACAAATGGTCTTTTAAACATTGCTTAAAGATTAAAAATGTGGACTTATTCCGTTTGGACGTCAAAACGGACGGAACTTATGGGACAACCTGAAAGTAATGGTGTACACCCAAGCGGTAGAATTGCTTATCGTATGACTCGAATTTCGCAGTTTTAACAAATGCTATTTTCCTGTTTCGTTGATGAAATGCAAACCATTTGTAGCTCACTCGCATCCAAATAACCAAAGCTGCGGACGTCGTATCAAGAAAAAGATTACAGAAAATTTGCACTGCTTTTCAATATAATAATTTACCAGTGGGCAATGTCAACGTAAGAAGTCATAGATTGTTTGAATAAGTTTTATGGTATAAGTTCAAAAAGCAAAGTAAGCTCTAAAAAATGATCTCAAATTTCTTTATTCCAGCGAAGTTTGAAACCAAAAAAGATAATATGCTTAATCGAGAAATAAATCGGAGCTCCGTTCAAATACGGATCTCTGCTTGTTGGCAACCCGTTGTTATACATTCTCCTGAACCAAAAATGAAACTTTCAAGCTTTCACCAAATCAATGCTGAGCTTTTCCACACTGGCGGATAAACACTACATACTTTTGGAATCAGGACATTATTCTGCGAGAATTAGTCTTTTAGAAACATCAGGTTTGATTGTAAAAATCTGGATAATAGCTAAGTTTGGATAATAGCTAAGTTTGGATCTGGATAATAGCTAAGTTTTTTTCGGTTTTTCTTATATGATTTATGTCATCTTAAGAGTGTGACTGAAATAATCGATAGACATTAAAAAATTTTGTAATGTAAATAGACTACCATTACAAAATAACAATAACGTACGACTGATAAATTGTCCTTGAACTATGTAAAATTCTAATCAAGTTGAAATTACTGGTGCTAAGCACAGTAGCATCAAACTGCTAGCAATAAAGTCAAAAGTTATTTGCACATTTATAAAATTTAATTTCAAAAGTTATCTAAATAGTATTGAAGCCAGAAATCGTTATTTCGTAGAATAATGATCAATAGACAATATCAACATTTCTGACAAAATAAAAAATATTACAGCTAACAATAGACAATAACAACATTACTGATGAAAGAAATAATATTACACCTAACAAGGGAGGGTCACGATGTGAAAGCAGCCGAACTCTACAAGCTGCATGCCATTAGTGAGCTTGGAACGCTGATTACAAGTCTGCTTTTGTTATCTGCAGAGCGTCTTTGGGAAAAAAATTACGAGCGTTTTTAGAGCAAGAAAATGATATGGCCGGGATAGTATCAATCATTACAACCTCTCTGGATCTTGAATCTCTAGAAGCGGCAACTGTCAGGGTTTATTTATAAACTCTTTTTGCTAGTAAATCGGTCGATCCTATTTCGCCATTCAGCGTCTAAAAAGGCTGTAATCCATTATTACAGCCTTTCTAGACGCTAATTGGTGAGACAGGATCGATTGATTTACTAAGCAGAAAGATTTTATTGTATGAAATACCCCTGACAGTTGCCACTTTCAGAGATTCAAGATCCAGAGGGGTTGTAATGATTAATAAATCCCGGTCATTAGTTCATTCTCTTGCCTCAAAAGTGTTCATAACTTTTTTTCCCAAAGACGTTCTGCAGATAAAAAAAGCAGATTTGGAATAGCGTTTTAAGTTCTCACTAATGGAATGCAGCTTTTAAAATTCGGCCATTTTCACTTTGACTTTGCAGATATGGAAGGCAAATTTGAAATCAGCGCTCCGGTCTCTCACTACTATGCAGTTTGTGGTAACAACCCACTTTGACTTCGTGACCCTCTTCTGTAAGAATATGAGTTTATATTCTGCAGATTCCACGAATATGTTTACAAATTTTCCACATGATGTCATAAAACAAAAGACATTAGAACAACAAAGACATTCATTATTATCTTTAAGGATGCTATCAAGGAATACATAGCATACAACGGCTACAATAAAGTCTGTTACACTGATATAACACATGCTAAATCAAATTATAGATATTATAATATAGAAGATTTGTTATATTATGTTGGTTATACCCTTGATAATAGCTTCTACAGATTCAGCTTACATGCTTCAAGCAAAAACAAGTATTACTCAAGGAGGAAATTTTAGTCCTTTTGGGAAAACATTATCTTGGTACATAGATAGTTATTCTGCCCATATTTATAATCATAACTTATAGTAAGGGGTTAAGAATGTTTATGTGTGTGTGTGTGTGTGTGTGTGTGTGTGTGTGTGTGTGTGTGTGTGTGTGTGTGTGTGTGTGTGTGTGTGTGTGTGTGTGTGTGTGTGTGTGTGTGTGTGTGTGTGTGTGTGTGTGTGTGTGTGTGTTACGAAATTCGTAGAGCGTGTTCCAGTTAACATCCTAAGCCCAGATTTTGCATAGCGCGCGCTGCCAACATGAAAGCCCACCTTGCAAAATCATTAACAGATTTTTTGAGTGGATTTTTTGAAAATTGCGCGTCAAAACGGATCCACTTTCCTTTGGCCAGTAAAAATGGCCCTGTACCACCACTTTTTGGAAAGTCGTAGATATTTGTTTATTTATTATATAGCTGACATGTTAATGTGCAAGCCATGGACATTAGCCCAAAAAAATAATCAAAGATTTACTACATTACGAAAACGGCGCCAGAAAGAATTGGCTGTGTAAACGGTCAATTTTCCAAGATTTCACCTAGCACTAGAAATAATTTTGCAGAGATGCAGCTCACGGCGATTATTGTCCTTGTGGCATCTAGCAAGCCACAAATAATTCAAAAACCAACTCAAATTTGCACTTATCCTTCTGCGAGAAGTCTCATCCACGCAAATTTACAGCTCTCATATAAAACTTTTGGAATAAGTAGTTGTTTACGATTCGTGGTAGTCGCATTGCGCGATTACAAGAGAACGTGTAAGACATACAGGTAGCAGAACCAGTGCGAGCCTTTACGAAGCAGAGGTGACGCATTGGTAATTATATTATAATAAAAAGATTTTTCTAATATAAATAGATTACTTATTAATGACCAGTCTGTTTGTACGGCTTGTGCCAGACTCTTAAACTTCTTTCAAAAGAACTTCACTGATTCTTGCTTCTCTAACAAATTTCGTTTGCAGACGGTTAAGTCGTAAAAGGGTAGCAACCGAAGTTGAACAGAATTTCACTTCATAACATTGAACACCCTTACCCTACACAACCTCCTACGTGCATAGTCACCATCTGTGCAGGAGCAGTGTATATTAGGTCTTTCGTGATGTCGCTTTTTTGAAACGTATGCCACAAAGATGAACTCGGGAACAAAGATGTGTAAGAGATTCTGGAAGATTAGATGCAGCGTTTCATTCTCTTTTAATGGTCATATAAACACTGCACAAAATCCATTAACCTCTCGAAAATTTTTCAAAAACTGCAACCTATGCTTTTTGAAAAGGCCAAATTTCATAATTTTTCTAAATCTTTATAACAACCACTGGAAGAAGTCCAAGTAATGGATGGATAGAGCAAACCTTACAGGATACAGCACAACTTTTTTCTACTTTCCAGAGCCTTCGTAATTTTTGTATAGATTTTTTGATGGAACCACCAAATTTTAGCAAGCTCGTCTCAGGCACAAATGCATCAAACACCAAAAAATCTTCGGATTTTGG